GGATAGGAAGACATTAGAGAAGTCTGTGTTAATAAATTATATAAAAATGAGTTTTCAACAGCTTCAGTGATTATGCAAAGATTTTGTTGGTTTTAAGAGCTGCTGAAGAAAAGGTTCCTAATATGTAAATCAGTTCTCCAAACAGTTTTGAGACTAGGTTAAAGGCTGTGCTTATTCTCTCCAAAATGCCAGGCATATCTTTGAGTGTGAGACAAAAATTAAAAAAAGAAACAGACAAACCTTTCAACAAAATCATCCAACAGCACAGACCTTCGTGACAGATTTTACTGTGGTAGCTCAAACACTTAATTTGTTTTAAGCTGTGTAACTGATACACAATAAAAAGTAAGTATTATAAGAATTAAAATGTAATAACACTAAAATATTTTAATATTGGCAAAAAGTTTAAGGGCCAGTGTACACAAGTCCCCATCAGTTTGAATGCCTGCATTCCATTTTACAGTAGAAATTAAAATAATAATATGAAGTATTAGGAATTTAGCACTGACAAGGAACAATTTGAGAATTTTCCCCTCTGACCTGAAATTCTGCTTGTAAGTAAAGCTTTTGTTTCTCTCCCAACTCTTTGCATTCCTCCCAAGTTAACTCGACTAACATTTCAGTCTGCTAGAAAAGATCTAAATAGGAAAAAAAAATTGGAGAGAGCTTTCTTCAAGGGCAGACTACTCAAAGTCCTGGAAGCTTTTAACCCTCTACACACCTTTACATTCATCACTCAGAAACAACAGGATGAATATTTTGTTTCACAGTTTTGTGCCAGCTGCCTCCTTTCTGGGAGTGCAGCCTCATGGCTGCCTCACGACAGCCTGTCTTTGACTTTCCATGCTGGTTCACAGCACTAAAAGAGGCACAGCATAGAAACAACCACAGTTCAGCCCTACATACCTATTTATTTTCATGTCCAGAAGTACTTTTTCCACAGAAATCCTATTATAGCTCACTGATTTATATGATAATACTGAAAGTCCAGTGGAGAATGCAACAACAGTGAACACAATGGCATTCCATTATTTAATCTATTTAAAATGCAAGTCTTTTCCAGGGTGGTATTAATAATTTATAACTCAACAACAGCTTACCAAGTTGAAAATTATTATTTGCAATTATTTTTATTATTATTACTCTTAATACTATTCTACTCACAGGGAGAAAACATATTTATGTATAACTCTGTCTTCTGCACTGCTGAAAGCTGAATATTTAGAAATATCAGAAGTAGCTGTCCTAGCAGGCAGAAGAGAGGCACTTCAGGCACAGCACATGAAGACAGACAGTGGCTGCAGTGATTTGGATCTTGTATCCCAACAGCCCCCAGGTAACTCATTCCTGACTCTCCCTTGGGACACATCACCACAGCCTCCTCCAGAAGCCTCCTGCTTGGCAAATTGTTTATCATGCACAACCAACTTAAAATAGTAAGTGGGATCACAAAGTGAAAAGCAAGTCTGTGGTATGATTTATCAATGGCAGCACTAAGATCTACATTTGATTTGGTAGAGGGAAATGTTGGGAAGAGTAACATTTAAAGGTTTTGGGAAGGAGCAGCATCTCTGAACAGTAGATAAATAGCAGGAGAGAGGTTTCAGGAGCTCCAAAAGTTTGATAGAAAAATTTACAGAGAAAGCCAAAATTGAGAAATTGCTAAAAATTTTTACCTCTCTAAGTTTCCTTCTGAACAAATTTGGAGTTCCTTATAAATAAAATTATAAACATCTCCCATTCTTATAAGGAAGAACAAGAAGTGCCTGTCAGGCATTTCTGTAGCACTTGATAGCATCTGTCCAGCTGTCAGAGCCTCAACTCCAGCTGTGGCTGATCACAAGCACTTCAGGTAGAGAAAACAGAAGAAAAATCCACAAACCATATCTATCTTTCCTATGTATAAGAGAAAAAAAAGAGCTAAACATTCTCTGATTATTGTAGCTGGTGAACAGTTGAAACCCTGAAGCACATGAGCTGGTTATAAATGTTTTTAATGAGCTGTAAGTGTCATCACAGAATGGTTTGGGTTGGAAGGGACATTAAAAACTATCCAGTTCCAACCCCTGCCAACACTAGATCAAGTGGCTCAAAGCCCTTTCCAGCCTGACCTTCAGCACTTCCATGGATGGGGCAATTATGAATTAATATATTAAGGACAAAGGCTTTATCTTATTCACTCCAAGGCTCAGAGAAGAAGGAAAAATAGTAGCAAGGGGAAATGCTGAAATTCTGTGGTCAGAAAGACCACACTGACCATTTAACCCCAGGTTTGTATCTTCCCCAAAGAAGGAAACATCCCTCAAAACAGCACTAAAAACAAATCTTGCCTCTCAAGTGTGTTGAGGGTAGCTTGCTTCAGAACTTCACTTGTTTCACTTGAACAACAAGAAATTTGATCTAGTTCTGACTCTGACAACAAGGTCTACAAGTCCCTCAGCACCACATACCTTTTCCATGTGTAAGCAGCTATTCAGAACAAGTCAGTCACCTCTCAGTGTTTTCTTCAATAAGGAGCTGACATGCTCAACATGAACCACAGATTACCTTGGTTTTCCAAAACATGGGAAATTTTTATGGCTTGTTTTGAGCTGTCTACAATCTCCAATCTTCTGAAATATGACCAAGAGAACTGGACACAGTATTCTAAAACCACACCAACCCAAGACAGCATCTCTGCCTCTATGCTGCTGCTGTCCTTTGCACACAGCCAAAGGTTAGAAAAGTTTTTTTCTGCAGCAATGTGCCAAGAGCTTACACTGATTATGATGTGTAACTTTACTTAAGTGTTTCTTCATGATTTTTCATTTAAAATCTCTCACTTATATGTACAGTTCATATCTGAAGGATTGGTAGTACAAATGTAGTTAGTTACTATTTAAAGAGATTATTCAGATCCTTATTACTAATCTTTGCTTTTTGTTCATTCAATATTTTAAATGCCCTAAATTATAAATTTTATCAACTTCCAGCTCTACAATGATTTCATAATCAATTATATAGTTGATAAAATTACAGCATTTAACTAGTTATCTTCCCTAAAAGGTAAATCTTTCTCTTAACAGTAGGCAGAAATATAAATAAATGTTCACATCAGTGAGCTAAATATTATCACCTAATTTATGCTATACCAACTCACCAAACTGCAGATCTCTCAAAAACCTACAGTCCAAGAAAACTTACCTGCTTTGAAATTGTATCAACTGGCACTAATTAAATACTGTATTATTTTGGCTGTGGTAACAGAACTGCAAATTAGCAACTCTTGTTTCACAGGTATGACATGCTGGAGATTGTTCCAAATGATTGGGAAATGCCCATTTATCTCAAAATCTTAACAAACAAACAACCAACTCCCATTCTCTTTTTCCAAGATAATGAATAGTAAATGGTAGGTAAGGATGCTTTCTTTATCTAATTTCTTTAAGAAGTTTTAGGTATTAATCATCCAGGAAAACATCTCAGCTACCTCTTTTGCCACAAATTATAGTCATTCCTACATAGCATAGGACCCTCCATTTCTGTTTCTGTTCAGAACCATAGTTTGTATTTTGCAGTAGAGTATTATTCTTATTCTTAGCAGTGCAAAGAAGGCTGTACTATCTTTATTTCTTTTGATCACTGGGATTTCATAATTTTCTTGGACTTGCTTATTCTTGTGACTCTTGAACCCTTCCATGCATCACAAGAGCTTTACAGGAGATTGTCCTTCTGATTTTATATTAAAACATTCTGAAAAAGTGAAGCATCCTTTAATATACCTGCTATTCAAGTCAAAAATTCAAGAAAGATAATGATGAAAAGCTCCAAATCCTGAACACAGAAAACAGTACCCACTAAACCAGTTCATTACTTTTTTCCTCTCTCATCTGGGCCAGCACAAATAAAATTTAAACAATAAAGTAACTCAACAGATCACACATTATTTCTATAAAGAACGTTTGAAAGGAATCAAATTCTCATTCTTGGTAAACAAGAATTTAGTTATCACATCTGAAAATGAGATATTAATTGTAAATACTCCCAGGGTAATCAACAAAACACATTGGTAATAACTAAACACATTGAGCAATCACATGAAGTCCTTTGAGTACCATTTTATTAATTTGGCCTGAAGACAGAAATCACAAATGAAATTCTAATTATAATGGATATACAATGCAACTTGACTGGAGGTTTCAGATGAAACCAAACTGAAATGTTCAAATGCTTATTAGCTTTAAGGGTTACATTTCCAGGTACATGCAGATGAGTCAGAGAGCCAGCTCTGACCCAAATGTAACTCCCCCCTTGTCAAGGCTGTGTTTGGTCGATGCAGGAGAGGAGGGCCAGGAGAGGACAGCACAGCACTGCCACCTCGTGCCAGGCACCACGGCTCCTGCCACACTGAGCCACAACGTGCTCTGCCTTTCAACCCTACACTCGTTTGAGAACAGATGCTTCATCTTGATTTATGAAAGGGTACAACAGCATCCATCTTTAATATGCAATTCTTTCAATAAAAATAATCAAACTATCTGTAGTTAATCAGCATGTCAGGCAGCAACTACTCATTATATTCATTGTTGTAACAGCTTAGGCACTCAGAACTGATACATTTCACTCACCAGAGATAAGACCTTTGCTAATGGACATCTGCTTCAGATTAAGTCTTTCTAGTTTAATTTTCCATTTTGATAAAAAAATTATGACAAAAGCATATCAAATTTCATAGTTCAGAGGATGCATAGGACCTCTGAACACCCATGCTATAAAAAGGGTCATATATTCTTGCTGTATAAATGTTTAAATACTGATAAGTTACAAAGAAAACATTTCCTTTCAGTCCATTGTTATCTAAAATAGAACCACTTCATCAAACACAACATAATGACATAAAGAATGTGATTTTTTGTTGTTGTTGATTTACTGATAAATATAATTTTGCTCAGTGGATATCTCACTCCTCCCCTCAAGAGCCATAATTACAAGCAAAAGGGATGTAAAGTAGCAGTACTCACCAATATCATTAGCTAGAGCAGCAGGATCAGAGACCCCAAGGGTGGCTTCAAACTCCTCCTGAAGACGATAAGCTCTTTGAAGAAGGGATTCAAGCTTATGAATGAATTCAGCACTAATGATATCCTGCAAGAAGACAGACATTAGCAGCTTTTCTATTTGCTTTTAGCCTGTAAGATTCCTTTGTAAAATCCAAGGATATTAAGCCTTCACAGAACAAAGCGTGACACATTAATTTCCTACAAACCACACAGGGACACTGTCAGATGAAAACTTCAACATCCACAATAGATACACTTTTCACAACACACACATACTTTATTTAGGGTAATAAAAAAAATTTCTAAATTTAAAAATAATTTAAAATTATCTGTGATATTTGCTGCACTAGAAATAATGAAAGTAGCACATACCTGTTTATTTCAAAATATTTTTTAGCATTTCGTTTATAAGAAAGGAGGAAAACAAATAAAGTTTAAACACATTGTTTGTGAATATGCACAAATTGATTATTTTTCCCTGAGACATTTATCTTTGGCAAGCAGATACCCTCTCACATAATCATAAAAGAAAGAGAGGACCCAAGGGATTACGGGCAGGGAAGTTGTCTGCTTGATAGCTCAATAATACTGTCCAGAAGCAAACACTGATGCATCAGCAGTTGCCAAAAGATAAATAATGTTGGCTCCCTTCCCATGCCCTCCTTCAAATAACCAACCAAAAAAGTCAGAAGAAATGAACTCAGATCTCCTTTAAATACAATACCATTAAACTGGAAATTGAATCAATTGTCGAGTTTGGTAATTGAATTTGCAACGATTCAGGCAATAACACAGAACAAATTGTCAGGGCAGCACCAGCAGATTACAGATGGGATGTACTCACTTCTACACTTTCTTCTGCAATTGCATCTCCTGCTCCCAGCTTAATGGAACCACAGATTGCTTCATCCTCAACTTGCCTGTTACGGAAAGTCAGGGCCTGCTCCCAGCGCCTCAGGGCCTCCTCAAACAGCTCCATACCTAGGGCAGAGCAGCAACAGCTCCAGCTGCACTCACGTGTTACAGACACAGGAAAATACATAGCTAAAATAAACATCATTATCACAGAGACGTAAGCTGAAACAACATCACTTCTCAGGCTGTATCAGTATATAGCCAGTACATATTTACCTTCTTTTGGTGTAAAGAAATGTGATCATTTTCCCCACGTGTCAGGGCTTGATTTTAAGGATTACAACTGCAAATAGTGGAGGGAAAAGTGTTCTAGAAAACTAACTTTAGATCAAGTATGATTTCATTATTTTATGGAAATGTTCTCAGACACTTGCCAACAGGACACTGAGAAAGAACACAGTAATATTTTGTGTCACTTTACCATAAAGCCAAGAAATAATTTACATTCATTGTAAGCAGATGCTGAATGTTCTTATTACAACTTACCCATCAAATACAAATTTTCAGGTGTAGTCACTGGAATATTGACAAGCTTAAGGTCATCTTCATCTGCTTTATCCCAGGAATTAGAATTGGCACAAGCACAACTGTGACAAGAGGTGGCACTCTGAACCTTGAAAAATAAAAGAGAGTATCCTTAAAAGCACGTTCCTGCCTGAGCACACTACATCCAAGCCATGTGCCTAGAAACTGCTTTTACTCTGTGCTAAGGACAGTGGATTCTCAGCATCTCTGGCTGCCTGTGCAGTTCCTTCAGGAAGCTTCCTTCAGCTCAGTGAAGCCTTTAGATGCATATCCAGTACAAGTTAACAGACATTCAAGAGCCTTAAAACACTTTTACTTACCGAGGCCAGGCTCTGAACTGAACCAGAGTATTTACTGAAAAGTCCTCCATTTGCATAGATACAGGACTGAGATCCTTTTTCCTTGGCAGAGCTCAGAGAAAGAGTCAAGTTTTGTCGACTACTGGAACAACTAGAACCTAGGAGACACATTTGTTTTAAAGCTCTTGCAAACTCAAAATATTACTTCTTGTGCAAATCTATCAAGAATTGCATTTACTCTTTTCAATAAAATCCAGTTTAGAAGCAAACAACAATTATTCTTATATTTACAGTTCTACTTGAGAAACTTCACATTAGAATTCATTGTCTGTAACAATAACTATGCATTTTACCTTAATAATTCACCTATTCTATAAAAAATCAGATGTGAATTTCTCCATATTGAGATACACATGTAAGAATGGCAAAACCCATTGTTAACATACTATTGATAAAAAGAGTCTTAATCCTGGTTCATGATTAAAACTTCACCTTTGACAAGAAGCCCAGCTCCTTTAAAAGAAAGATACTGTAATTTTGTTTCTAATTTGACAAATTCAAAATTCAAAGCCTAAAAATTTGAACCATCTCAGGTGTTCCATCCTATGGAGATGATTAGAGGGATGGAGCACCTCCCTTCTGAGCAAATGCTAGAAGTTGGGGCTATTCAGCCTGGAGAAGGTTCCAGGGAGACCTTACTGCAGCCTCTCAGTACTTGAAGGGGCCTATAAGAAAGATGGAAACAGACTTTTCAGCAGGGTCTGCTGCAATAGGATCAGGGGTTATGGTTTTAAAACTAAAAGAGGGCTGATTTACATTGGATAAGAAGGAAGAAAGGTTTTACAATGACAGTGCTGAAACACTGGAATGGATAGCCCAGAGAAGTCATGGATGCTCCATCCCTGGAAACACTCAAGGCCAGGTTGGATGGGCCTATGATCAACCTGGTCTAACTGAAGATATCCCTGCTCAGTGCAGGGGTTGGACTGGATGAACTTTAAAGGTCCCTTCCAACCCAAACTATCCCATGGTCAAAGGAAAATAGTTTGGTTTACTACTACAGTTATGCATACCCATCCCCTCACACAACTTTCTTTCCTCCCCAAGAAAAGAACAAAAAAACCCCAGCTTGGGGGTTCCATGCCTTACCTTTTTCTGAAGCAGCTGCTTTGGTACACTCTAATACGAGATGAGCTGGCTCCCATGGTGGCACTTTCTTGTTTTTCTTTCCACGTCTTCTTTTAAAGTGATGGGCCAGAAAAATCACAGATATTGCACTCACTGCTGTTACTGTGAAAAGTTTCTTTAAGCCTGGGGAAAGCTTTATCTGAAAATAAAAATGTGATTTAATTGCAAATATACATACTGAGAGACAGACTGCAGCACAAAGAACTATAAGGTATACTGTAAATCTGTAGACTACGGGAATCTAAGCAAATGAACTTCAAACAAAGATTTGGGTTTTTTTAATTTCTTCTTAATGCCAGGACAATGCAGGACTTCAAGTAAATCCCTAACAGCAAAAAAATACTGAGAAAGGAACTCACTTTTCCCAACTACACTACTTGCTCTGTGAAAGAGTGGAAGATCCTATTGCCAACATTAGTGTGCTGTTTCAATTTGAGTAGAACATGTCTTTAAACACATTTCTCTAAATTAGGTTTTGAAAAAAAAAATTCGCATTTTATTTTAGATCTCTTTCAGTCATAGGTGTATAGGTGTTTAAATTAGTAAATAAGAGCCACAAACACAAACAACTTGTATCAAAAGCTATTAACAAAATTTGTAACATGCAAAATAACAAGGAAAGTGCCATTTAACTGGAAACCACAGTTCACATTCATAAAATCTTCTGGAAAGTTATGCTGCTTGAGGAACAGAATGCTGGGAGAAAAACAGATCCATAGTCCTTGGGCCTCATATGGTGTTTGTGTAACATGATTCCTCATACCAGAGAGAGCACACAGAGCACTCTGCCTGTTGTGCACTTGCTAAAGACTATCACCACTGTGCAATGTGAAGAAACACTGAAAGCTTCTCTCTGCACTGAGTTTACAGTCAACAAGTCAAGCACCTTTGGTTTGTTGAGAGCCCTGCCCTTCCTGGTACCATGCCTTGACTGAGGTCAACAACTACCACTGTACTCCATGGGGAAAAGGAAATGCCTGGAACACAGCACCAACACAGAGCTTACAAAATTTACAAAAGACTACTGCATTTCACAGAAGAGAGTTAGCAACCAAACACCTGAGATTAAAATGTCCAAGATCACAAAATTAAATGTTAACACATTGCAGTTTCAAAGAACTGCAAAAGGATTTTTCTAAATTTGTGTGTGCCTACAAACATGATCATAAATTGATTAACAGTGAAATGAAAACCTCTAAAAAGAAGAATGTTAATAGCTGCACATAAGGGAGTTGCATGTGGTATTTAAAAAGGACATGAAAAGGAAAAGAGTGATCTTGCAGCGAGAGTTTTGAAGTACTTAATATATAGAAAAAAAGTGGAAATGAACATATGCAGCTAAGACTGAGAATATCTTACCCTGGTTTTATATGCAGTAAAGTACTTACAGGGAACTGTGAAATATGACATAGCTTTTGCTTATAAGTGTGTGATTCAATACAGTAATATTAAAGACCTAGTTTTAAAAGCAGAACTCAGTACTCTTATTCAAAATTCAATGACAGTTATGTTTAGCTTGTAAATACAAAAAAATCTACAAGGAAAAAAAGACAATTTGAGAATTTTGATATCTTGAGAATCACTGCACAGTTACAAAATGCAGATGTATGATGATGTGCTAAGCATTTATTAGCAGAAAAAGACAAAAAGACACACTTATTTTAGTGCAGTGTTATAAACCAACTAAACCCCAATGTATTCTGTACAAATTTAATTCAGTCACAAGAGCACATACAACACTGCAATAAACTTCTAAACATATGACAAAAGTTAACAAAATTTAGATGCATTTATTACCTGGTTAAGAGAATAATACCAGGAAAGGGGAAGATGAAACACCCGTAGAGCTACTGTCTTCAGAGAAAATCGTGTCTCAGTAACTGCCTCTTCTGACATGGCTCCTTCTCTCCCATACCTCATTAAGCGAAACTATCTTGAAAACAATCACAGATGGTCTCTGGAATATTCTGGCAAAAGAAGGATACATACTATGAAGATGTAAAGGATGCATAACTATGGAAGGATGCATCCTTCCTAAAAGAAGGATGCATAACTATAGAAGCCCAGGACATTTTTCTTATACAAGCTTTAATCTCTTCTATCACAGGACATGACTTGTTTGATTGATGTTTTTGACTAGAGGCAAGACTTGATGTGGTGATAGCAGATTTGCTGGTTCAGCTCAGGCCCCGTGTGTCCAGCTGCTGTGTGCAGATGTGCAGCTGCACAACGCCCAGCACTAAGGAGGACTCGCTCTGCTTTCATTAGCGGCCGCTCCCGTACTACAGCCTCTAAACCACGCACGGCAACAACCCTGCCTCTGAAACCGCGACTGCTGGAAGAACATATCTGTCGCTTGAAAGAATTAAAAGATTTGTGAGCAGCTAGAAAAAGTTTATCTCATTCAGCGCCTCGTTTATTTGCAGACACACCACGAGACACAACCACTACAGCCTGACGTAATCTCCCCGCCGCAGGCACACCTCTCTCGCTCCCTGATGCTCAACACAAGGCGAAGCCTCCGAACCGCGACCCCGGCACCGCAACCGCGGCACGGCGGGAGGCTGCGGGGCAGAAGCCGCCTCCGCCCAGCCTGGCCGAGCCCTCTCCAGCCCGGGCAGCCCCGGCATCACGGGCGGGCAGCGGGCAGAACCGGGCGGGCAGAGCCGGGCGCCCTGCGCGCTCCTCAGCCCCCTCCCCGCACCCGCCCGGATCAAAGCGGGCGCGCGTCTCCCCGTGCCCGGGCCGGGTCGCTACAGCTGCCACACGCAGTTGTCACCTACCTGCCCGCCGAGCACCGGGGCACGGGCAGCTCCCTCCGCTCCGGCCCCGGCGCTGCCCGGAGACCGGCGGGATCCGCTTCCGGCAGAGGGAGAAGCGGCCGCTGTCGGCCGGGAGGAGCGGCTACCACGTGAGGGAAACCTGAGGCGTCAGGACCCCGCGCCCGCCATCTTTGCTGCGGGCAGCTCCCGCTGCGGGCAGCTCCCGCTGAGGGCAGCCGGGCGGGGGCGGGGTGCGCGCCTGGCGCCGCCATCTTTGTGCGGGGCAGCGCTCACATGAGCGGCTGAGGCTCTCGGCGCCGCCATCTTTGTGCGGGGCAGCGCTCACATGAGCGGCTGAGGCTCTCGGCGCCGCCATCTTTGTGCGGGGCGCGTCCGCGGCGGCGTCGCGGCAGCCGCGCCCGCCCGGCCGCGCGTGTGCGGGGCGGCACCGGCGGAGCCGCGGCCCGGGCGCGCCCAGCTCCGCCACGGCAGCCCCGCTGCAGCGCCGCTGTCCCCGCAGGCAAGGGCGAGACGCGGGGCTGGTCGCGGCCCGGCTGAGCTCCGGGATCCGTGCGCGGCGCATCCTCCCGGCTGCTCCGGTAAGAGAGGAAGGGCCCGCTGGGGCAGCGGTGAAGGGTTCGGTCTGGCGGGGGCTGGCAGCGCGGCGGGCCGTGTGCCTGGCCGGTCCCACAGCCCGAGGCGCGTTGGGGCGGCGATGGCGGCCGCCCGGGAGCCGTCCCGGCGGTCCCGCAGGGCTGGGCGGGGGCCGGAGGTTGGCGGCGCCCGGCCCGGGGCAGCGGGGCCGTGCTGGGCGGGACCGGCCTCCCCCCGGCTGGAAGCGGCCCCAGAGCTCCGCAGGTCCCCGCTGAAGGTGCGGCTGTGCGGCAGCGGTACCGTGGGCACCGCGCAGTCCCTAAAGCCGGGAATTGACTGAGAAATGGCCCCGTTCGCTCCCCGAGTCACCCGTGCGGATGGATCGTCGGTATGAGGGCTGGAACAGCCTGCGGGAGGAGTCCCGGGTATCACCTAGTGGAAAATCACTGTAGGCTTCTCCTGAGCTTAGGCAAAGCTCGAGTAGGAAAATCCTCTTAGAAATATAGAGGTTAGCTAATGGGTTTCATAGTTAGGATTTAGCATGGTGGAAGGAAGAAAGGAAAGAGTGGCCTGTATGCCCTGAAAGCCAGTATAAAATGAAAATTGTCTAACCTTGTAAGAGGATATACCTTCAACTCCAGATTATTTTTAAATGTTTTTTCTCTGTGGGAACAGTTCTTAAGGGCAGAAAAGGAATGCAATGGAAGTGACTTATCAATTTGTGTCTTGCTTGAGTGGGTAGCTCTTGGTGCCTGAGGAGAAAGAGCAGGTACCTTTGACCAGGTTACTGTGCACACTATTGTCATCTAGTGGAAAATACCAAGTTTTATGCTAAATATATATAAAGTAAGTTCTCTACCAGAGCTGGAATATCTGGTGTCATTTTTTCAAGAAATGGGCTGCACTTGTTTATTGTTGATAGGTTAAAAAAATATAAAAATACAAAGGGATGGGAGATAAATTTCAAAACTGCCTATTGATTGATGGAATATAAAGGAACTTAGGTTAAGAAATAGGAAAGATGAACCTTAATTTGACACACTAAAAAGACTCATTTAAGTTTGGTAAAAATGTCATTCATGTACAAAAGCAATTGAAGGAATTTCCGTAAAGTTTAATTAAAACAATGCAAATTTTTAGAGAAGTGATAAAAAACATGTATCTTAACAATTGGTATATTCCTAAGGCTATCACTTCAGTGGGCTTTTATAGCTCTGAGTGAATGCTGGTGGGTTTTTTGTGAATGTGAAGAATATTAATAGGATAAGTAATTACTGAACTTCCAGTCCTCCTTAGTATTCTGAGTAATTAAGTGTTCAGGTACAAAGTTGCACTCTGTGTCACTCTTGCTTTGTTGCTATAAAATATAAATAAATGTTAAATGAAATTGTTCCAGTGCATCACTGGTAAAATAACCATGAGTGCAATGAAAGAGCCTGAGCTTACAGATTGCTGGTTTGAGATGCTGTTATTCAGAGCTGTACTGACACAATAATAAAAGCCTGTAATGAAGACACAATTGCTGCTTCATATAATTGATGTCTTCAGAATAATCCTTTTATTCTTAAAATCTTCCATCAGCATTCCCTTACTGAACTCTGTAAAATGATCTCTTAAAACAGCTCCATATTTAGAATATCAGTGGAATACATAAAACATACAATTGTTTTTTTCAGTATCTGTTGAAGTGTTAACTACTGTAACTAGGCAGATGAAATCATTAATCCAAAACTTTTTGAAATAATTTAAATTTTGTTTTGTTTCTTTAGGAGATATTGGGTTCCTTCCATGACCCAAAGATAATTTTGGAGATCAGGTGAATTCCATAGTGTTTGATGGGAGTTTTCTGTGGGTGTGATAGGCTTTCCATGGTAGGCACCACACAAGTCTGATGCTGTGGGATTCTGCTGAGGAATAAGCAGGTTGCTGGTCATGATGCTTTGAATTGTAGTCCACATTTCTCTGATGGCTCAATTTTGTTTTACTTGGGGAATGAAAAGACTTGTCAAGAACACAAAAAACCCTCCAAGACTGGACTTGAAGAGAATTTTTTCTTTGAAGTGTGAGTCTGTGCATGCTCAAAGCAAAATTCATTGATGAGTCCTGCTTTGGAGCATGAATTGGTTCACTTCATGGGATGGGGTAGTGTGAAGCATTGAGATAGGTGAGCTGCAACCTCTGAGGGAAGCAATGGGTAGAGCTGGCAATAGACTGGGAGAGAAATCCTCTCCCAGACCTGTGGGAAGCATTTGATGAAAACCTTATTGTATGAGCGTGATCACGAGCAGTTGGTGTGGAAACAGGCTGAGAGAGTGGGGCTGATCAGCCAGGGGAGAGAGGGAGACCTTGCACAAGAGACTTGGAGCAGGACTTCAACAAGGGCAGGGATAGGACAAGGGGAATGGCTTTGAACTCAGAGGGCAGGTTTAGGTAGATATTAGGAAGAAATTCTCTGTTGTGAGGGTGGTGAGACCCTGGAACAGGCTGTTCAGAGGAGCTGTGGATGCCCCATCCCTGGAAGTGTCTGAGGCCAGCCTGGGTGGGGCCCTGGGCACCCTGACCTGGTGAGTGGCCCCCCTGCCCATGGTGGGGCTTTGGAACCAGATGATCTCCAAGGTTCCTTCCACCCAAACCATGCTATGATTGTGTGATCTCATGGGATCATGAAATGGAGATGTGTTCCAGCTTCAGAACAGGAGTAGAACATGGAATGCAAGGGAAACTACAAATCCTATTGGATTATTTTGGGTTTTTTTTTCCAGTACTGAAAATGCAGAAAAACAATTTTTGGATGACGCCAACGCAATGCAGAAGCTGGTGTAAAAGCAGATGTGCTAATGAGCTGCAGGGGAAGAAAAGCAATCTCTTCACATGGAGTAGGAAGTGGTGAAATGGAGGAAGGTCCCTGAGCAAGGGAGGGGCTACCCTGGGCTGGCTAGGACTTAGGTGAAGGATGAGTCATGGCTTTTGAATTAATTTTACAGTTTTAGACTTTAACATAAAATTCTACAAAATGTGTTTCTGCAGCTATGTGTATTAAGCTACCAAGGTTATGGCAGAGTTGTCAAAGTGTTACAAGATGGAAGGAGGTGTGTAAAGAAATTGTTAACAAAAGGTGAAAGAATGGCCACTCAGCTTTGTTCATATAATAACATGTGAAGAATGACATGAACTACACTTCCACAAGGGATGCTCTCCATAAGGACAGGAATAGGGAGCACATCCACAGGGACATGAGTCAGAACAGCTTTGTCTTTCTGATCATTGTTAGAAGAGAGATGCACATTGCACCAAGAAACAAACTGGCATGAGTAGAACTCCTGGGTCTGGGTTTGTTCAGGACTGCAGGTTTGGATTTGTGGAGTTTTGTGTATGAAAAGTTAAATACAAGTTAAATACAAATCTGGCAGCATGAGATGAAGTCTCCATTCATTGCTTGTATTACTTGTAATAATGTATTCAGAAAGCTTCTGCCATTAAAAAAAGCTTAAAGCTTTACTAATCCATTATATCAATCTTTTTAAAGCATTTATATTAAATCATCTTACTGCATTTAACGTGCTCAGGGCTTTATTTGAAACTCACTTTTCCTTTTTAAACATTTTAACAGACCTTGCAAACTGTGGGAGATGTAACATGCATTCATGTTGCCATTTCTGTTCTGGAAAGGAACCTTGCAGTTCAAAGAGGAATTGCTAATATGATGGAAGTTGAGGAGGTTTGGCTTGAAAAAATGTTGCCTTATTTGAAGTGTCTTTCAGTAACAGTGCATATAGATTATAGTCAGTCACTGAACTGAGGAAATGCTTCTCCAGCTGGAGCTTGTGTTTTAGAATAATGCATTTTAAATGTCATGCCACTGGTCCTGGGAGAGAATTCAGATCTCATTTAGAAAAAAAATCCTAAATGTAGTATTTTCAGTCTTGTGAGATAAGTTCTGAAATACCTTATTGAACAACTGTTAACATGATATTCAAAAGACTGAAGCATATATACTCATACTTATGAGTCCATATATACAATTATGTATCTAATAATTATATTATTATATAGGTGATTATTTTTATATAAAATGTATTTGTGTATATATATGTGTGTGTGTGTACATATATGGATGTAATAGGACATCAAGACATTTTCCATAACAAATAAGATGTAATACTTCAATAATATTACCTGTGTAACAATGTTTATAGCAATAAAACAGACTGTTTGCACACATATATAGAAAAATCACCAAAGGGTGCTGAAATGGCTCTTGATTCAAAGGGATTTACTGCAAGGCAAGAGAAGGAAAAAGTCAGAGATGAGAAGCTGAGAGTTTACCTAGGAGTGTGTCTGAGATGCCCATTAGGCAAGGTTTGATTTCCCCACTCTGTCAGAGCTGTGGGGTGCTTGATGTTGAAATGAGTGATTGGTCCTTTGAGTGGAAGGAGCAAACCCAAAGCTGCCAAAGCACACAGGCAAAGTGGAAAGAGGTGTTGATAGCAGTGCCAAAGGCTGCAGACAGAACAAGGAGAGTACATCACTGAGTTGAAGTTTAGTTGCAAGTCTTGATAAAGGAGTGCTACATTGGACAGATATTGGGCAGAATAATTGAGCAGAACAAGTTAATTTTTTTTTGGCCTTTAGAGAGATTGAGTCATCTATAGTAATTGCTTGAGTGACAAAACTGAAACAAAGTTATTGGATAGTCCCTGTCTGAATGAGTCCGTTGGAGTGTTTATATAAAAAGAACATTACAGAGTTAGTATTTTTATTTTCCTTCTGTTGTTTTCTGTGCAACTATTGAAATAATAATAACAAAGTGATTGTATGTAGCATTCTTTATTTCTGATAAGTTTCTATGTCTACACCAGAGACCTTGGATGGGCAAAGAGAACAAGATAAAAGTGTTGCTGAGTGTTTAGTGCTACATGTGAGTCACAAGTTTGTCTCCTTTTGATATATAATATGTCTGAATCTAGAATGTGTCTTTGTAAATAAATAAAACCAAGATAAAGTTTCTGTATCCTGTGATAAACGAGTCTTGTGTTTCTGCAGTTCAGCCTTCACAGCTTCAGCAGTGTTGCAAAGATCCTTTTCCAGAACATACAGGCAAAGCCACTGTCAGTTCTAGGCTGGCTTGAAAACCAATGTTTATAGCATTTGGGTGCCATGGCAGAGTCCACAAAGTTAAATAATTGACCCAAATCACCTCTGCTCCATTCAGAATTATTTTTGTTTGACTTAGAAGTCATAGGATTTCATTTTCGAAGTCAGCAATAGTTTTGGGCTATTGGAGTCTCTTTATAAAGTTGTTTATACTAACTTAGTCTAAAGAGGCACATTGTTTTAAAAGTTATGTATATGTTGCATATTAGATATCTAGTATTGCTGTCTAGTCTAAGGAATTGGGTTTTACTCATTCTTACTTCTCTTGACAGGTGATTCTCTGGTGTTGAAAATTACAGCTACAGCATCTCAGAAAATACAGCTTCAGCCATGTCATCACCCAGCAGCAATTGCCCACACCTGGAATCAGTTGGTGAGATAACAAAGGAGGAATTGATACAGAAATCTCATGTGAGTTGTAGCAATTCATTTTCTTCCTATCACTGTTAACTGATCAGGTATTTTAGGTCCACATGTTAGTGTATTATTAGTTATAAGGTTCATTTAAGTGTCAAGCATGGGTAAAAGCTCCTCTGCTGGAATAGCAGGGTTTAAATAAAGTATGAGAAGAATTGTGGGATTGATGAAGCTGCAAATCTATTTTTCAGCACTTAAAGAGCACCTTTGCCACAATTGATGTTTTATTGGAATCATTAGTTAGAGTCGGCAGAGCACCAAGTTGAACTTCATTTTCATTGCCATTGCAGCATTTGGTTATTCAGACTGTCCATGTAAGATAGCACAACTGACTTCAAGTAGAAACTGTAACAAAGAAATTTATGCTTGAATTTACTTGGGTCACAGTTCTCTTTTTGATGGAGAAGCCACAGTATGAGAAGCCTCCCCTCCCTGAAATCTTTGTTTCAAGCTAGTATTAATAAATGGAACAAGGAAGGATCTTGTAGCTTATTTAAGTAGCTGGGAGGTGATGAAAAGTGAGAACTTCTTCTGTCCATGGTGCTTAATTTCTGCAACAGTTCATTTGCTGCTGAGGAGCACAGCATTTCCCTCCTGTTACATCTTATTTCTCTAAACCTTTGCAGGTGGTGTCTGCAAGAAGCAATATGAATTTACTAAAAGTTCTATCACTATAATTTCTTTTTATGTTATATTTATAGCAAAGACCAATTATGAGGATTATTATAATTATGTGATAGGGTGATATTTATGCCTTACTTAGAAAAGCAATTTTTGGTTTAAGATGAAAACTCAGAGATAAATCTGAGATTTTAGTCAAAAAATATGCTGATCTCGAGATTATGGGAAGCAAAAATTAGATTGGTTGTCAGCATATCCCTTTTTAAAAGCCAACTTTAAAGTCTTAAAGGTATTAATCTGATACTAAGCTTTACAGTATTTTTTCTCATTTTGTCTTGAAGTTGTGGTTTACTGGTGAAAGTAAGTGAAATAAAACTTGCTTTTGTGTTGAACTTTAACAGGGCACTTGTCAGGACTGTAAAGTCAGAGGACCCAACCTTTGGGCATGCTTAGAGGTAAGTTGTGCTGTTGTTCTGCAGCAGAGTCATTTTCTAGTAAAGATAAAGTTGGTAGAATTTTTTTAAAGAGACATCTGTCATGAAGTTCTTGAAGTTAGTTTGTTTAACTTATCATTTAAAAGCAAAATTTCTTCTGTAGTTCTTTATACTTACCTTCTATTGGGTGCATACTTCTTGTAATTTAAGAATAATATGCTTAAAATGAGGGTTTCTTATAAGAAGGAAGATAGCATATTAGTGTTCTTACTTGAGTTATGATACTTTTTAGCTCTTAAGTTTTGAAGGTTTTTTCAATCTTTTCCCCGGGTTGGTAGATCTAAAAAATAATATATTATCCCTGAGTTAACTTAATTACTTTTTATAAGCCTTTCTTAGCAGTTGTAGTCATAACATCTAGTAGTAAATGCAGACATTTTACAGAATAATGCATACTCTGACTTTTATTCTTAAGGAAAACAAATAAAAATTCCTTTTTTTGAAACTTGCAGAATCTTGTATGAGCATTCTCTTTACTTTGTACAAATTTCATACAGTCTTTACCCTGGGTATAGCTCTGCCATAAATATGCTTTTGCCTGACTCTCCTTGCTGTCTACAAAAAACTGTAATTTTCACTGTGTTTAAAGAAAATACAAATATGTTGCATGAGTGATCTATGATCCCAACTGGAAAGCATATAGTTAACTTAGTTTTTAAAATGTCTTGTGAGTTCTTTGGACTTTTTGCAGAGGTTTACAGAGATTGAAATTTTGCCCTGTAGGCTTGACTTCATTTAATGGCAGTTTTTCTTTAAGTACTGTCAGAAGGATCTCTGGGCTAATGCCCCCTGTAAGTGTATGTGTGAGCATCTTAAAATGCCCTTCATTTGTGTCCTTTGAGGTGGACAGTGGTAACAATTAAGAGATCAGATTATTTTGCTCCTTCTTTCAATAAGAGATCAGATTAGTTTGCTCCTTCAGTGATGAAGGGGGAAAGAAGCAGTATTTAATATCTTTTGTTAGATGGCCTGAATTTTTAATTCTGTATAAACAAACCTCTTGGGAGTGGGGAAGAGGTTTTCAGGGATGCATCTACCTGGCAGGTAGGAAAATGCTGTGAAACTTAAACCAATGTTTTTTATTTTTCACATAGAGCTCTTAGACTTATTACTGAAAAACTAAATTTTATACTCACATTTCCATAGGAGAGTCTTGTAGTTGCAGTAGGACACTTAATGTCATGCTGTGATGTTTCTCCTCTTGGATGAATTGGCATCTTGTCTTCACCTTTTTCAGTAGACAAATCTGGTGAGATCCCAGCATGTAAACAATCTGTAACTTATCAAATAGCTGAGATCATTTAACAGAGAAATTGGCCTTGTTCAGTGACTATTTGATTGTATAAATTAACATGCTTAGAGTTACACAGATAACCTGCTGTACCCTCCTGTGTGATTGGCCTGACTCATGCAAATGAGGAATTAGCAAAAATTGCTTGAAGATAGCAGCTGCAAGATTCCACACTCAACTCAGTCAAATATGTTTTGTAATGAGCATTGCAAAATGATTAAAATAGGCAATTATTTTGCATGTTATAACTAGAACATGGCAAGTTCTTAGCCATACAGTGCTGGAAACTTATGTAAAGGTGAAGAGGCTAATTAGTTGTGAAGTAATGCTCTGATGAGTAGGCACTGCAGATAGGGGCATGCAGGGATTTTTGTACAAATGTGTCTGAGGCTGTTGCCATTCAGTATTTCACCACTCAGACTGGATTAACTTTGTGTTTTCTGTAACAATATTTACCAAATAAGGAATTGTAAAAATAGATGTTGTCAGTAATATGAATAAATATATAGGAATTGCCAAAAAAATTATATTCTACACATTGCCCATCAGTAGGAGAAGTTGAGTTAAATCTTGCAGCATTCTTTTTTGCTTTAAGTGATATTTATTCCACTGTTTTCTGTGCATGTCTCTTGGTTTGTGTAGGACTCAAGTCCTACAAGCTTGAAATTTGAGTGGATTTAAAGGGACTGGCAGTATGTTCCTATTCTGTAAACCTATTTGAGACCACTTTTTAATTCTCTATATTCTGTGTATCTTGCTCAACAGAAGAGGTGCACATATGTTGGCTGTGGTGAATCCCATGATGATCACAGTACCACCCATTCCCAGGTATGTGTTTGCTGGTAACACAGTTCCTTGAAGCAATGGAGTTAAAGAACTTTTATTTCAATGAAGTCAATAATCTATGTTAGCTAGCTGTGTGGAGGTTTGATTAGCTATAATTGTTTTTCATGTTATAGAAGCAAATCTTGCTAATTTAGGAGTATGTGAGTTTGCAGGTTTTGTGCATCTGCATAATTATGCAGTTCTTCTAAAGAAGATGGTACAAATTAAAATAAAAAAGGACAATTAATACTGATGATTTTCAAGATGCACAGATGAAAGATTTGCTGAGTATCTCATCTTATGTCTAGTACTTCACTACTTCAGTCTAAATTTCTGGGACTGTGGCTGCCTGATGGGTAGGAGGAGGAAAGTTGCATTAATGGGCAGCTGAAGAGGTGCAAGACAGGGAGTATAAATTACCAGAGAGAGTTGCTTTGTTTCTGCAATATGCTCCTTGTTTCAGATGAAGAAACTATAGGCTAAGCTGAGCATTTGCTTTCCTGCTCTGTCCTGATCTTGGATCCAGCTTGGTGGGAGCAGTGGAGTGTGTGCACTCTGTCCCCAGCATGCCAAGTTCTGCCAGGGCTGGGCATTCTCTGCATAGGTTTGGGTCTAAACTCACTGTGTGTTCTGGGCACACACGTGTGCAAGGGCAGCACTTGCCAAAACAAGGTATTCTGGGCACAGAGAGGTGGCAGTGTTATAAACATGTCATTTCTGAGTTGCTGCTTTTGAGACTAATGAAAGTCTTGCCATCAGTTTACAGTTGGTCAGTAAATGCATCTAAAGTTCCACACAGAACAATTTTTGATCCCTACAATTACTGATAAACCTTGGTGAATATTAAAATGAAAGAATAGTTTATACAGGGGTTTTACAAGAAGTATGTGGTGTTATGACTGGGTTTTACCACCACTCCTGATTTTATTTTGTTTTGTTTTGTTTTGAAGCAGAAACTTGAGAAGAAAGAGTATTTATACAAATAGATAGTGCATTAATGTAAATCTATATAAATACCTTCACAGGTTCTTTATCAGCTGTTAAAGCTGAATCACAGTTTTAAAGGCTTTACAACAGACTGAGAAATGAGGTGTTTCTAGAGTAGTTGGAGACCAGATGGTCCCTGAATTTTTGCAGCAAGTCAGTAGAAATAAACATTGTAGAGATGGTAGCTCCCATTGTGGCCAGTTACAGATATTCCTTGAAAACTGGTTCATTGTGAATTGTAGCACTTCTAACAAGAATAAGGAGGCTTTCTTCTTATTTTTTTAATTACAGAGAGGCATGTTAAATACTGCAGTGTCTTGATTCTGATTGCATCTTATTGCTAGTTTGAGTGATTTGTACTAAAAATGAATGTTTGTGTTAGAATTTAGCAACTGAATTGCTCTTTCTCAGTATTCTAATGTGCATACTTGTTTCATTGTTGAAAAACCTAGAATTTTGAAATATCTATTCTAGCTTGCATGTAGCAGTGTTTAGTTTTTCCCAGTTTCTGAATCCCAGTTGTGGTTTTTGTTCTGTTTCAGGAGACAAAGCACTGTCTGACTGTCAACCTTACCACTCTCCGTGTTTGGTGTTACGCCTGTAGTAAGGAAGTATTCCTGGAGAGAAAATTGGGATCTCATTCTCCACTACCAAGTACAAGACTGTCTCACCAAGCACAAGAAAACAGTGTGCAGGTATTTTTTAACCCAAGGGAGCAAAGGCAGCTGTAGTTTTGCAGTAAAAATTATGTTTTCTCTTAAGTGAAAGACTAACTTTTCCTCCATTCTTGTGGCTGAACTTTCTGTTAATTCCTCTATATTTTCATAAAACTTTTTTGGCTTTACTGGCATCAGTAGTGTTCACTCTGATCTTTGTTTTTCTTAGATAAGTGTTGTCTTGGGAAAAGTTACACTGCAATTGTTTGGAATAATGCTTGTAGCTGAAAAAAGAAGAGCTATTTCTTTATTGTGTGTGTAATGTAGTTACATAACCTGACAGGTAACTAGGTTAAAAGTCACAGGCAGAAGCACAGGATTTCTAAATGTGTTCTGCTTGAGACAGAGCAGTAGAAGAGAGATCATCATGCACAAGTTGAACAGAAAGATGGGCAGTTTTTCAATCTGTATAATAAATATATTTACTTCAAACTTTAGTATTTAGTATTAATGTAATCTGATCATTTTCTCAAACTGCCAGCAGCTCAACTGGAATGTCATGACTGGAATTTAAAAAATTCTGTTGTCTTAAAATTCTTGTCACTTGATATAAAGTTGAGTTTGGACTTCCGAATTTCTGTTCTATTATATTTAACCTTCTTTAGTTTTCCGAGGAAACAGGCATAATATGCAGAAAAATCAGTGGAACTTGCAAAGTTTATGAAGCATTTTGTTCAGGGTTTTTATTTATATGCTCACAAAAAGAGCCTGTAATTCAATAAATGGCTGCCTGTCTACTAGTTTGTTTCTCTATTTGTACATTTTTCTTTCAGGAGTTTATTTTATCTTTATTAACTGTAGTGAGCCATCTGGTGGCACATCAAAGACATCTACATGAGCTTAGGTGATAACTGCTGCCTTAGCTCTTCCATGCTGGCTGCTTTGTTATCCAGGGGGAAGAAATGCCATCCCTGGCTTTGTTTTGGTTCTTCAGCTGTTGTTCTAAAAATCACTCAGGGATCTGATAACAAAAACAGGAGGGAGTTCTTAGTAAACCTTCTGAGGGTACCTGTGAATTCCTGGTGTTCTCACTTCCTGTGCAGTGAGATTTCAAAATACATTCACATAATTTTCCAGTTCTTGATTTATTGGTAAAATTACACATAAGCTTAATTAAGTGGAAAAGTGATTAATTAAAGTAAATATTCTTTTCCTCCTTTTAAGGATTTTAAAATACCCAGTAATCCCACACTGAAGATTCCATTGGCAGCTGTATTTGATGACTTGGATATAGAAGTGGAAGAAGATGAATTGAAGACCAGAGGTAATAAAAGCAAAACCCCATGCATTATTTTTCTGCTCCAGCTCAGGTGTTTATTTGTAGTTTTGCCCTTCTTGCAGCAATCTTTCTTACCTTCAGAGCAGAGGCTGTTGCCTGAGTTTGGCTATTGCCAAAGCATGTTGGAGTAATGTTCAGTGCAGTTGGTACTGTAGCCACTCTGGTTCAAGTAGGCTTTTTAAAAATCTGTTCTACTGGTTTTGCCTCTTTGCCCTAAAAGATTCCTGATTTAAATACTTTCCTGCATTTTGAGTAAACTTTTTGTGAGCCTGTAGTATCCTATTGTGGGGTTTTGGTTATTTGTTTTCTCCTTGACGTAATTGATTTCATGCACTGCCAAACTTTCTCATATCAAAGATTACCCCACCCAAATACTAAATTTAGTGTAAAGATGAAAATTAGAGTGATGAAATCCTAAGCAGCAAAGCTAATCCCACGCAGTGAAGCTTTAATCTTTCATTTCATAAGAGAACATAATAATTACTATGTCTTTAAAGCTTCTAATTATTATTGATCATTCTAAGAACTGTCTGTGTATTTGATGGTAAAGAAAATATTGCTAAGTACCATTTTTCAGAAAAATATGACTAGCAGATTGTTGAGCTGTTATTTTTGAGATACCATTGCATATGTCAAGGCAGTTTGTTTTCCATCAGTGAGGAGAGAAAAGTTAGTTATTAGTTATTCTAATTTATGCATATGCCACTTTTGGCTGGGCAAGAGTTAGTTATATTCAGAGTAGCTGCTATGGGGTTGTGTTTTTGGATTTGTGCTGCAAACAGGTTGATAATGTAGAGATGTTTCAGTTATTGCTTAGCAGGGCTTACACACAGTGAACCTTTTCTCTTTCCCACACCACCCACCAGGGAGTGGGTTGGGGGTGCACAGGAAGTTGGGAGGGGACACAACTGGGACAGCTGACCCAAGTGATCAGGGGGATAGTCCATAGCATGTGGCATCCTGGGAGAGGAAGAAGGAAGATTAGGACTTTCAGAGTTAGGGTGTTTGTCTTGACAATTATTCATGATGGAGCCCTGCTTTCCTGGAGATGGCAGAACGGCTCCCTGTCTGGGGGCAGTGGTGGATGAATGCCTTGCTTTGCTTTGCTTGTGCAAACAGCTTTTGCTTCACCTGTTAAACTGTCTTTCAACCCATGAGTTTTCTCCCTTTTACAACTCCCTGCCCATCCCAGCATTAGGGAGTGAGTGAGTGGGTGAGCTCTGGGGTGTTGAGTTGCTGATTGGAGTTAAACCACAGCAATGGCTCTCATTTCTCCTTCACTCAGCTACTGCCAGCTTTCCCTCTCCTGAGTCTGCTGGCATTGGTCAGAAAACCTGCCTTGTCCCTTCTGTTGTCTGGCACAGCCTTACAGGATGTGACACCACCCCACTAATTTGCCATCTGCCCTTACATCATTACCGTGTGTTCTATTCCTAGTTAGTTTCTCCAACCAATGTGTCTTTTGTATATTTTTATCTCTTCTTATATTATTAATATTTTGGGGAATGTAGCTTACCTTGCAATAATATGCAATTAGAATTGCAATAAAGTTCCCAGTAATGATGATGGGACAGTTAAGAACCTTATTCAAACTGGAAGGAAGAATCTTCTTTAGCTTTGTTTTAACTTTACTCCTAAAATTTCTTTTGAAATGCTTTTGATGAAGCAAACATTAGGATATATCTTCACAAGAAGTCTGTTTGAAAACTTTCCTTTTATTACTACAGGCTTGAAAAATGCAGCGAGAGTATCTTCCTGTAGCATGTGCTGCTTCTAAAAAAACTGAAAGAAAATCAAAATCTTCAAACTGTTCTTGCTTTCCAATTTCATTATAAGAATAATTGTTCTCTTTGTAGCAGAGTTTGGAATGCATGTTCTGATACAGGAAGCAGGACTGTATTTTCATTCAGACCAAAGGACATTGTAAAACTTAATTTTGAAGTCCTGTCTATTAGAAATTGTAACTGAAGTAACCCAAGTGGTTTTCAGATGTAGAAAGATTTTATTAGTAACTTTTCTTTTTCTGCCATAGACCAAAATTACCAGGAGAGTTCCTAGACTTCAGGAATTGCATAGTCATGAGTGCTGATTGCTGTGTTTGTCATGATTTTTAATTTTTGGGTCTTACTGATTCTTTGCTTAGAAATGTTTCTGCTCCCTCACACAAAACCAATTTTATTTTGATATATTACTTAATTAATGTAATGCTTTAGTAGCCATGAATAACATCATTCATAATTATGGAACGAATATATGTCAGTTATAACTTTCATGTGTGTGGAAAAGGTATATGTGACTATCTGTAAAGAATGTAAATAGTGTGACTTAGAAAGTAAACAATGCAGGAAAGTCTGAATTGAGCAATCTGTTAATAAAAATAAAGGTATATCATTGGAATAGAAAAGGACTAATTGCAGGACTAGCCTGGGATAATCACATGTTGAGTAGGTTTTGAATATTGAATGTAATCTGATTTAGTGTGAATTTGGAACAGAAGAGTGAAATCTTAGAGCAGCTTTTGGTGATGCGATTAGTTACAAATGCAGCACAGCAACAGTTTGACTGAACAGATAAGTCATTAGGCTGAAGTAAAACTTTGGTGTTGAGAAACATATTTTAAATTAAAATCTGCAGATGTCATAAACCATGGAAAGTGAGTAAGATGAAATACAATCCACTTTTCTGAAGTGTTCTTTAGTTCAGTTGAGATCAGAACACTTCATTACTACTTCTAGTTAGATTGGTATTTGTTTAGGAGTCCTGTGTTTCTTTTAGTTGCAATTCTGCACTATAATTGGCATCCCAAGTGTTCCATGAGCATTTTGATAAGTATAATTTTTTAGGAATTATTGGGTTAACAGATTTGTATTTATTCTGTTTTCCAGGTCTAACAGGATTAAAAAATATTGGAAACACTTGTTACATGAATGCAGCTTTACAAGCTCTTTCTAACTGGTAAGGAAAATGATAGTTAATGCAATTTTATATTTGCTTATGCGTGCTTTTTTTCCAGATGGACTTAAGAAGTGCAGTACCATGGAGGAAGACATATATTTGTTGAATCTGTCTTGTATACTGGAAACAATTTATTATGGTATATGGGCCACTCAGCTTTTTCTCTGTTTCATTCTAATGCCTCCTAAGTAAGAATATATGCAGTTTTAGAGATTAGAAGAAAATCTGAAAAAATCTACAGAAAAATCAGAGGAAATGCATAAGAATAAACTCTTAATTCAAGAAAAGAAATATTAGGATCAGAGTGTGGCTGTACTGCTGAAGTTGTCCTACCAGGAAATGTTTGGTTGCAGCATTTATGAACGTAGGAAGTGGAACTGTTCAGTCATAGAATAGCATTACTCTTATGATATAATCCTGTATGAAATGCAGATTTCCTCCTATATTTTAACAACCTGAAAAAATTGCTGTTTTCTTCTTTTCATCCAGCCCACCTTTGACACACTTTTTTCTTGACTGCGGGGGCTTAGCCCGAACAGATAAGAAACCTGCAATTTGTAAAAGTTACCTCAAGCTGATGACAGAGCTCTGGCACAAAAGCAGGTATTAAATCATTTTGGTGATGAAATGATAATAAATAAATTCCAGAGTCATGAAGGATGCATTAATCTGTCCTAGGTTTCTAATTTTATTTTATGTGTTCACAGAATTCCTCTTAAAAAAAATTAGAAAGGAAAGACTGACTTTCAGGGCTGAAGCACTCTTTATAACCTGTTATTTTTCATACATACCAAAGATAGGACAAGAAATAGATTGCTTTGCAAGCATTTAGCTCTTAAAAATACTTATATTTGCCAGAAATGCATCTAAAATATTTAGCTATTTTATCCTCTCTGTATCCTTTGTTCCATATCAATATGTTATCAGTTTCTCTTATTTCCTTATATGGAATTTGTGCAATATCTAGCTAAGAAAATACTTCAAAATATAAAAACAAAGGTAAAGCAGTAATTATGCACAGAGGCAAGAGTATGTCTGATTTGTTGTCTGATTGTCTGACAAGAAATGTGCCATAAAAGGCCTGATACAGTCACTGTTTCAGTTGGGTGACTGGTGTTTGAAAATCATGTAGTTAATAATTCAATGCCAATATTATGTTTTGTGAAGATTAATTTATTGGTGTTCAGTTGCAGGTAACGGTATGATCCCAGTAAAGATAAAAAAATCCATTTAAGTTCTTTATTTTTCAGTGTTTATATATTTAAAACTTTTTTTGTAGGCCTGGATCTGTTGTCCCTACTGGTTTATTTCAAGGAATTAAAACTGTTAATCCAATGTTTCGAGGCTACTCTCAACAGGTAAAACTTTCTGATGCCTTTTAAATCTGCCTAAGCCATAAAATTATCTCTTAATCAGAAATCTAATGCTTAAGATACCTTACATCCTGTATTTGTTTAAAGTAAATGCAACATAAACTTTAGTTAATATAACTTGAATGTAGATCACTTGAAATGGAATAATCAGTAGTTAGGTCATGTTTTATATTTACATTTACTTATATCAAATTCTCAAAAGGCCTTCAGTGTAGAATAACTCCTTTTCTTTCAGGAAAATTCAAGTAATAATATCTGAGCTTCTCCTTTGTGGGAAATAATACTGCTAATATTTGAGCAGTCTCAGAAAATAAAGATGCTAAAAAAAAGTTAATATAATAGATTTTTAATATATGTCTGTTAATGATGTTTAAAAAAAAATACACAGTATGCAGTTTCCATTTAGTGTCTTGGAAAAAAGCCCCACCATTTGTGTGTTATGGGAACCTCAGGTTGGTAGCTTGTTAAATGGGCAGGGTTCATTTTATAGGAAAGGCATTCTTCAGTTTCTGCTTCATACAATATCTTGGTGCATTCATACAGTGTGGAGCACTATCATTAAAAGCTTTAGGACTAGGTGAAAAATTTAAACCTTGTAATTAGAAGAGCTTACTAGTGTCTTCTGGGAATCTGCATTTATTAATAGGAACTTTGCTGGTTCCATTATGTTTCATATTTGTGGAGTGAAGGATTAGGACATGTTTTAATGTTCAATTGCTGCATGAAGCTGTAAAGTCAATGTTTAAATACTAAGCTTAAAGTTCTGTAATCTGCTCATGAATTTCTGAAGTGCCACCTAGCTTTCTGAAAAAGCAGAAATTCAGCCTTGGAAACCAAAAAGAAACTGTATGGAAACTTAATTCTTGCAGTTTTGAATGCTGATGAAAACATCTTTTTCCGTGCAGAGCAACACTTAATGAGAACCTTTTTCAGTTAGGCCTGGATCATAGCTCAGTTGTGTGTTCAGCAGGTGTCATGGCAACAATTAAAACACAGCAGGGCTTTCATAGCCAGCACTCTCCTAGGGCAAGCTGGGCAGCCATGTCCAATCTTCAGGGAGAAGATTACATTGATCAATGAAGAATGTTTATCTCTTAATTGGTGTCTAGATGGTTTTGTTAATTTTGGTTTTTTGTCTAGATATTTTTGTTAATTTTGGTTTTTTGTGAAAGGATTGCCAGCAAGTAGGCATACTGGGGTTTTTTTTCATTACTCAAATCCAAACTCAGTTCTGTAATTTGCAGTTTTTAAGAAAAGAAATGTTTTGTACTCAGCAGTTTTGAGCTTAGTAAGTAATTGTTATGATAGATGGGAACGTTGAGCAGCAAAAATTACTATTATGAACAACCAGAATACAAAAAGGAGAACAGAAGAAAATAAAAGCAGTAGTAGTTGCCAATAAGAGGCTTTTGTTTTCTCACATACCTGCTTTATTGAATACTTTCTATGGCCAGATAGAAATAGATACTGCACCGATTGATGAAATTTGGTGGCTTTTAGCATGTTTTCAAACACAAATTAGACTTGTAGTATTACAGCTCTTTGTGGGAACACATTTGGGAAATCTTGTTGAGGCTTTAGAAGAAGAGCTGTAGTATTGTTGGCAATGTCATGCATTGGAAAGCCAGGCTAAGTCACATCATAGTAATTTCACTTCATACACAGTGAAAGCAAGGCTCTGGTTGATTTTAATGGAGCATTTTATCTCTAAAATGCTCCAGTACAAGCAGAGCTGGGGTCTGACCACGCTGCTGGTACTTGTTTGAGTTATGTTTATCATTTCAGTAAGCTATGGCAGCATTTTTGCTGGTGGTGTTAAAGTAATTTATTTTGGGAATGGAGTGTTTTGGAGGAAACTTGTATGATAAGATTATTTGTGACATGCAAGAAATGTATGCAGGAAACAGACATGGTCTGGAAATGAAAGTGGTTTTGAACATTAGACCTGGGGCAGAGGAACTTTCTTCATTCTTCATTAACAGCCAGCTTTCATTTTAGTTATCTGTATCTTTTCTGATGTGAATATCTTCCAGATAAAATAGAGTAATATGGTCAAACTTGTTTAAAATTCTAGGATGCACAAGAATTTTTGCGTTGTCTCATGGATTTGCTGCATGAGGAACTTAAAGAGCCAGTTGTAGAACTGGAAGATGCCCAGCCTATGAGTGTTGAAGAGAGTATGGAAGAAGATAAGAGCCAGTCAGACTTAAGCTTTCAGCCCTGTGAATCCTGTGGAAACTGTGATAAAACAGAAAATGACACAATTTTCAAACCTGTCTTAGAGGATCCTGCAGAAACAACCATGTTAATTCAGGATGATGATAATAGTTCAGTCACTTCCAAAGACTGGCAGAAAGAAAAAAGCAACAAACTTAAACGAGCAAATTCTATGGAAGACTTGGAAAAAGACACAAACACTGCTTCAGAGACCACTGAATTTTTAAATAACCAAGGAACTGTCAAAGTACAAATACACAGCAGATTCTCAGGTAATGCATTGCTAAAGTGCAGTTGAAAGAGTCAAAATCTTAGCCAGAATATCTGTGGGAGTAGAAGTGAGTTATAGAATGTAGTAGAGGTATAGGCCAAATCAGGTAGGTGGTTTTACTTGTAAACTGTGTCCCTACTTAGTTAATTTTTTCAGTTTAGATCTTCTGAATTTGATTTTAATTCCCTTGGTGAGCTAACTGTTTGTACTGGGTAATATTTCAGATAGAGTGGGTTTTTTGTTTTGTTCTTAACTTCAAAGGAACTGAAGTGGTGCTACATGCCTGAATGTCCAATGGCCTGACAGTGGGGTTAAATAAGTTACACGACCACTGTGTCTGTTCATTCTGCAGTAATTTTTTTCGCAGAATTTGTGCAATTCTGAATTGCAGATTACATCAATGATGTTCACATGAATGATGTATCTGCTGCCCAAACACCATCCTCAGTTGAAGGGATGAACACACGCTTATCAAACAGCCCTCCAAAGTCATTCCCATCGTGCTCTTCACTGGCACAAGTCCACAAAAAAGGTAGAGGCTCTTTATTTTCTCCTTCCTGGTACTGAATTATTCCACATTATAGTTCTCATTGTGTTTAAGTCTTGTGTAACAATGCAGGGTTGTTCCTAAGGGGCTTTTAGCTGGTGGGGAAAAGGGAGTGTTATGTAAGCTGGACATGCAAGATTATTCCCTGTATTTCTATAATCTTCTGATTCTTTTGAAGCATGAATAGTATTTGCCTATATTTTAGGAAGGCAGAATATTATTTTTAGACAATTTTCTCAGTTGTACCAGTTTGGAGAGAAGAGAAAGGTATGAGAAGTTAGTACCCCCAAAGGTAATGCTCTCCAGAGGATAAGCTCATTGGTTCTTCAGCAGAAGTTCAGTAAATCACCATTTTAGTCAATTAAGGTTTAAGGAGCAAAGTGTAATTGTGCTGTAGATAAACCTGTAAATGCTGGCTGCTTCATGGTAGTTAATGTCCCTGCAGTGCTGAGTATTTCTCTTGGCACTGCAGCAGGATGCCTTTATGAGCATCTGGAATATTTAGACTTTTACTGCCTTTACATATAAGACAGTAATGCTTTAGAGCATGAGGAACAATATATAATTTTATTTTCCATGATTTGTCTAACAGTAGATTACTTTAAGCAAAGCTTGTCTTTCAGAGCTTGCTTTTAAGGCATTGCACCAAACCAAATCAAAAAAACAAATACAACTTTAATATTATGATTCTGCTTCATTTGATAGCCTTTGCAGATAAGTTCTGAACATTTTATTATCTTTTTAATGTTTTAGCATTGGTTTTGCATGACAGTGATTTAATGGACTTGAATCATTGACCTCCTTGGCTGGTTTGTTCAGCAGCTTTGACGCTGCATTTGTGCTACTGTCTCCAGTTTTGGCTTCACCATTACAGGAGGGTTTTAGACAACCTGAAGTGAGTCTGTCAGAAAAGGTGCTCGGTCACTGGTGCTTGCCCAGGAGAGATTGAGAGACCTGGGTTTTTTTAATAAGCAGCTATTAGGCTGGACTCCAGTTGTACCTTTAGTCTGCTTCAATCCTCTGTCATCAGTGTTGTGATACAGTAATATTGTGATGCTGCCTTTCAACCCAGCATGGTTGAAACTTCCCAAGAAGATTCGATCAAATTAAGTGTCAAATAAAATGTTCCTTTTTATACCTTGAGGGATTCCTGCCAAGATAAATCCATCATGTAGCAATAGGCTGTAGACTTCAAGACTGGCAGTTTGAGTTTTACTTACAGAGGCAAGTGTTTCTGGTGATTGTCCCCAATGGCTTGAGGAACCCACATTAATTGCCTGTAATGGCAGTAATGTGATCTCATAATTCCTAAGAAATATTTAGTAAATAGAAAAAAGAGCTTGGCTCATAATTTAACTCTGAACATGAGACTTCTAATTATATTACACAAAGCTGAAATGTAATCAGAATCCACTGTACTTTGCCTTACTGCAGCATTTTACTTTTGTCATTTTATAGTTTCAACGGTATCGTCACCAAAAAGGAAGAAGCGCAAGAAGTACAGGAGTGTTATCTCTGATATATTTGATGGCACTATAATAAGTTCAGTCCAGTGCTTGACCTGTGATCGGGTAAGAAGAGAAAGTTCTGGCTTTTATTATGTTCTTTTCTTACTGCTTTATGAATACAGTCATTCTCTGGTAACTTTATATTCTTTTGTGGCAGATTTCCTCAGAAGGTTGGGGTGTTTCATACTCATTCTCTCAAATTGTAATAGTAGCTTCTACCAGCACTTTGTGTTTAGAATAGCTTGTATTCATTGAGCTGAATATTTACTCATAGCTAAAAAAAACATTCTGAGAATTGGTTTACAGCAAGGATGAAGAGAGAAGCTTGCTCTTCAACTTCATTTAGGTCTCATTAGTTTTTAATAATGCTCTGAATATCCTTCTGTATACATGCTACTGTCTTAAGTTCTCTGATGTTTCAAAGAAAAGATGAGGCAGTGATCTAATATAGTGCTGTAACTGTCCTATCAGATAGATTGAGACTTACAAAATAAGGTCTTTCAAAAAATCCAAGTAAAGACACTAACTTTTGCATTTATATGAATCATTGACTGCTTTGTGAAGTTGTCTTAGGGTAATCTGGTGAAGAAATTCAAAAAACAAACAAAAATTTCTAGAATGTGTTTGATGTTGACTCTGTGGCTATGTGATCACTAAATGAAGCACAGGAGCAAGAAAATGCACAGATGGGTCTCCCTTGCAGCAAGTCCAGTTGCATCAGGTCAATATAATGTCAAAGTAAAATACTGTGGAAACAATGGACTGAAGCTTTCTGAAACTATTATGTGTAACATGGCCTGAAGCAAAAATCATAGTGCTTTGTATGACTGATATGAAGAAAAATAATAGTGACCTAAAAAAATGTTTCCATGATAACAATGCGCAAGTTAATTTTAAAATGCTATTTTTTGGTTCCTCTTTTTAAAAAATGAATTCTTGTTAATGTGCTTTTTTATAATAATTTCCTACCTAGTGGAATTTTCAGTGATGCAGTGAAAATTCCACTAGATAGGAAATTATTGGTAGTTACTAGTGAATTGTACAGAATTCAGTTTAATTAACCATTTCTCTTCAAGCTTAACTCCACTGTGTTTCGTTTATTTTCTTCCTTAGCTGTCTGTAACCCTGGAGACCTTTCAGGACCTGTCCTTGCCTATTCCAGGTAAGGAAGATCTTGCTAAACTCCATTCTGCAAGTCATCAGACATCTCTGGTCAAGGCAGGGTCTTGTGGAGAAGCATATGCCCCCCAGGGATGGATAGCCTTTTTTATGGAGTACTTCAAAAGGTAAATAATATTTACCTCGTTTGATTCAATTGTCTATTTTGAACTTCTAGTTTCTGCTCTTCTGGCAGAACATTTGTTGGTTTTCTTTCTTTTCTGTCAATGATGTTTCAGGTTTGTTGTCTCATGTGTTCCTAGCTGGTTTTGGGGTCCAGTTGTAACCTTACAAGATTGTCTTGCTGCCTTTTTCGCCAGAGATGAGCTCAAGGGTAAGAGGTTAATTACCTGAACATGTTTCTTCTTTGTTTTTTTTCCTCCTGTCACAATGAGATGATTAATATCTCCTTAGCTTAATGCAGTTAAGCAGAGGCCACCTGTTAAGGTGTAATACAGTCAGTCCTTGTTCATTTGGGATCATTCATTTCAGAAAGGTAAGCTTCTCATTCAACTGAGTATTTGAGAGAAATGCCTATGAAAGCTGCTTTAGAAATGTCAAGTCAGTCTGAATTTGGTTTAGTGGAATTGTATCAACTGAAGGCTCATAAAAATTTCAAACCCACCATATTAATATTCATTCTTATAACCTCAATTTGGACATAGTAAATTATTTCCCTTTTGAATTATATAGCATCATCTCTTCAGATTATACTGTGCTGCTTCATAGTTGAAGACATGAAACCTAAGAACCTCTCCTGTAGTTGCTATGTCAACACTATTATGACTATTAAATACTGAATGCAGCTTAAATTCCCTTGACACTTTTTTCTATCAAATGTACACACTTAAAGGATAACTGTTTGGATTTAGAGAGTGATGGCTGGTTTTCTTCTCCCTGATGTTTGCAGGTGATAACATGTACAGCTGTGGAAGGTGTAAAAAGTAAGCTGGCTTTTACCTTTGTTTTACTTTGTCCTAATTTGAGGTTTTACTGTTTCTGTTAGTCAAGAGACATTTATTTCTGTTGGGTATGTCTCAAGACTGTTCATCTTTTGATATGATCCTGTGTTCTGACTGTCAGAAATTCAGTATTCCCAAGGAATACTTCCCAAGGAAGCAGTGACTTACCCTACCACATGTGCTTAATTCTTTCTCATGCCATTCCAGTTTAGATGTAAATTGGTTTTGTTAATAAATAAATAAATAAAAGTCTTTAGCCCTTTCTAGTACTAGCAACTTTCCCCTAATATGCAGTAGGTCACTAAGGTGTGTTAAATAAATAATATATGGCTTTAAATACTAAAAGAACCAAGAAACAGAAGTGGTGTGAAGGCTGCTTGAAGCCCTTTATGGTACAGGAATGTTATTCCTTCTTGTATGTGCTGTAGATAATTTCCTAGAAGTAAACTTAATTCATTTTTTTTTTTCCTGTTCCTGGATAATCAGCTTTCATGAAGCCTCAAGTTTTTTCCTCTATGTTAATAGAAACTGTTAACTAGTTGGGACTCGATTGTTCTGGCTGTTTTGAAATTTTCAGCAGTACAGATTGACTTGTCTTATGAACCATCATTGTTTGTATCATTTTGGCTACTCCATGTCTAGTCTACATTCCAGAAATATTTTGGGTTTACTAATGCAATGTTCAGCTTAGGCTTTTGCTGATCTAGTGCAATAAAGTAAAACCTTTTCAGAATTAATCATTGGTTGTTTTGGTTTGGTTTATCCTTTGCTTAGGTTAAGAAATGGAGTGAAATTCTGCAAAGTACAAAAATTTCCTGAGGTACTGTTACAATATGCACTTTAAAGCATTTCTTCTGCATGATTATGAATGTGGTAAGAGTAAATGAGTTGCACAGAGTAAATTGTGTTTATAATGCTGTGTGATGGAAGTCTACCTTTGTATTGGCATTTGTTAAGAATGTGAGCAATGTGGTTGTTCACCCTGTAAGAAAATGAATCTTGTACATGACAAGTGCAGGAATGGGATTTCCCTGTGTTAACTGCTGTTGGTCTGCAGGCAGTAACAGCATTTCTGTTCTGTGTTAGTATATATTCTACTGTTTATACTGTGTTCACAGAATTAAGCACCACAGCCAGACTGAAAAGCTTTTCTATAGTAACATTTGTAACTTTGCATTTAGAAAGTAATCCAGTCTTACACTTCAAAGCATGAGTTGAAATCTGCAATAATCAGGAGGAATTAGTGTCCCTCATTACAAGATTGTGCAATGTGTGCATTGAGAAAAGGTACATTTTTCAGTGCTGCATCAATGTTAGTAGCCACAGCTGATTAAAACACAGAGTTTATTAATATGCTTGAAGTCAAAGGGAAAGGTATTCTTTTTGGGATTATAAAAGGAAAAGATGATGCACACAGTTTTTAGGTATTTAATATCAAATAGCATGTATAGTTCTTGACTGAATCTGTCAATCCTTACAGATTCTGTGCATTCATCTCAAAAGATTCAGACATGAACTCATGTTTTCCACAAAAATTGGGACCCATGTGTCCTTTCCCTTGGAAGGCCTTGACCTTCAGCCTTTCCTTGCAAAGGACAGTCCTGCTCAAATCGTGACTTACGATCTCCTGTCTGTCATCTGCCACCATGGGACTGCCAGCAGTGAGTATGGGCTGATTGTTTTATCTTTGCAGCTGCTATATCAGCACTCTTCTTCAAGGGTGATAACTGTATACTGACGGGTAAATAGATAAACAGAGGTAATTAGAAAGTGGAAGATGAATGCTGTGATTTTTACCTTGATCTGGAAGATTTAAGGCTTGCTCTGAAAGTGTTGGCACATCTTTGAAATTACGTGGTACACCTGAATAAAATTGAAGGTGGAAAAAATTTAACAGGTCCAGGAACATTAAGAAAGAAAACTATTGAACAACATAAATGTACAAATAAAGTTGCCAGCAGATGACCAGTTGATCACCTGCTGTACATAGCTGCTGTTTGTGTCAATGCTTTAATATTTGGAAATTGTTTACAAAGAACTATAAAGATACCAGTCATTTTCTAAAAATGTGTTCTTTTGGATGATCACTGCCATTTAACCCCAAAACAGGTGGTAACTGCTATTTGTGGGTAATGAAGAGTAGCTGAATAAACATCTTATTGCTGTATGTCAAGGTAATTTCTGCCTAGGTGATTTCAGTATTTATAAGATTTGGAAAATAGGAGAAAGAAAACATTTAAGCCAGAATTTATATAGGTTTTTATGGAAGTTACTTCCTCATACTTCTCAGACTTGAAGTATCCATTGTTTGAGGTTTTTTCCCTTTATTTTTGTTTTATTGGATAGTTTTTCAACTCCCATTTAGTCCTTGCTAAGTCATGCTTCACCCAGTCAGTTTAGCAGATATTTGATTATTTATTTATTAGCAGTTAAATATTAATTCAAAAATAGCAATAATTTAAAATATATTAAGAGTCTTTGAAACACAGTTAGTTATGATCATGGTATCATGTAGCTGTTCCATATCTGTGCTATTTTCTATTCTAAAGCATACAAAGATTTGAAAAGAGTTTGTTGTGGAAACTGATGAGGGTAAATTGTTGAGACAATTTTTCTCTGAATGTCATGGTTCAGGACTGTTTTAAACAGCATGCTGCTTGAAAAGTGCAGGAATGTGCTGAAAGTAGTTCAATTCACCACTAGCTAATAGAAATGTAGAAAAAAACTGATGTTGAGTTTGACAGGAGTTAATTTCAAAGTCGTATCTGCTAACGATTCTGTTTCTCCTATTTAATATTGGGGATTTTATTATGACTTAGTTCCTTTTCATGTGTTACAGAGTAAAATGGCAGCTCTAGACCCTCTTTGATAACTCTTCTTCCTGCACCCTAGGTGGACATTACATAGCTTATTGTCGCAACAATTTAAATAACTTGTGGTATGAATTTGATGACCAGAGTGTCACAGAAGTATCAGAATCCACAGTGCAAAATGCAGAAGCTTATGTTCTCTTCTACAGGTAAGAAAGACATCAAAAGTACAATCATACCCCTGTGAGTCATGTATGTAAATACCTTTTAAGCCATTGGGCAGCTTTCAGATTTAGCTGCCCTGTGAGAATTATAATGGAAGAATTTGACCAATGGGAAAAGCCTATGCTGGAGAAAAACTTAATCCTTCAGTTATGTCCTTAATGCTTGCTCTGTAAGGGCTAAAGTGTTTATGTTAAAATGAAATCTGCATAGTAAGAGAACTTTAAGCATCAATTAAGAACTAGCCACCTTATTTCCAGTTAGAGGAAGGGAATTCTGCACACAGGGAGGTTTTGCACACAGAAAGTTTTTAACTGTTAGAGCTCTAACCGGAATTGTCCAAAGTATTTATGAGATGGATGGGATGTAGGAAAAGAGAGGTTTTAATTTGTATTGTAATTGAATCCATTTTATTATGCATTTAATTTAATGCTATATATAGGCTATTCTGTTCCTGAGAATTTAAATGAAAGGTGAGAAGTCATGTTATTACCATCTTCAGTCTAGGGAACTTTTGTGCTAGAGATAATAAAAGCAACTCAGTGTTCAGATTTTAAATTTCTGGTACTAAGATCAAATTTCCACTGAAAGTTGGCTGCAAAATACATTGTGTTAGAGTTGCATAAAAGTTATCTGCACTGTACACAGGATCTGTATTTGTTTAATGATTTCTGTTTCTGTAATAGAAAGAGCAGTGAAGAAGCCCAGAGAGAGAGACGGAGGATATCAGGGCTGCTGAATATGATGGAACCAAGTCTTCTACAGTTCTATGTTTCCAGGCAGTGGTTAAATAAATTCAAGACTTTTGCAGAGCCAGGACCAATTTCAAATAATGACTTTCTCTGTATTCATGGAGGTGAGACTGTAACTGTGAATCATTTAAGAATAATTTGTCAACTTCTAGCTGTAACAGTGGTGTATACTTGTTTTAATAAAAGGAATACAACTATGCTAAGTTCATACTATAATTTCTTTGGTAAATTATAACTTCTAAGTAAATTCTTTCTTATTTTAGTAGCTGACTAAGTAGAAATTATACTGTGTGAAGTTGTTCTACTTTTTTTTTCTTTTCTCTGCACATTTGATTTTGTTTATTAACTTTCTTGGTTCTTAAAGAGGAACAATTCCTCTTGTCTGCTTGCTTCTTAAACATATATATTCACATTTTAAAACACCCTGTCACTATATCATCATCCTTAATATTTTCATCTGCAAATTGAAATTATTTTCTCAGCTTGGGGCTATAAGCAGTGAGAAGGTTTGAAAGCTGTGTTGGAAGAAATTGAGCTGATGCAGCATATCCAGTACATAGCAGTGTGACAATCAAGTAGTAATTCTGTGTATTTTATATAGGAGCATAAAAATTTTACCTTGTGCTACATGTAAAAAAAAAAAACAAAAAAACCAAAAAAAAACCAACAAAAAAAAATAAAATAAGAGCATTGCACTAAGCAAAATACATTTGGGGAAATAGCCATATTTGGGTGCTAACAATCCAAGAAATCATTACTGTGTAGTACCTATTTTCTAATAAAAGTACAATTGCAATGGATTGGAAGATGGAAGTGCTGCCCCTGTTGCTGAACCAAAATTTTAACACAGGATGATTGTGTCCCTGTAGCCATCTGCAGGGTACCTGTGAGTCCTTTGGCTTTCCCTCTGCAGGGCTGCAGCAGATGGCTCTTGATGTACAAGTGCCCAAGTACTTGATTTTCTCTGTTCCCAAGAATTCCTGCATAGTCCACTGTTGTTTACCATGTGCTTCAACTCAACACTGCTAATTCTGCAAGCCCCTCCCTTTCTGCCTTCCTCAAAATTTCTCTCCTCTCAAGTATTCATGCTGTTTGAAGTAATTCCAAAAGGTCTGCAGCAAATAAGTGAATTTTGAGAGTTTGTTAGTGTTTACATGCATAATCAAGATATTTAATCATCCTGACACTTTAACTGTATACCTGAAGAAGCTTTTTGAACTCATGTAAAATGGATTCTAGCCCTTTAACTTTAGCCATTCATATAGTTTGCTTCTGCTTTTTATAAGCTTTTCAGCCTCATAAAAGACTAAAATCAGTGGTGTCTCTAAATAGAAGGATAGATTATGCCTAGGTAAAACTTATTTAATGTAATTTCTCTGAATTCATCAAAAGGTTCTGTGTTTTTTTTTTTTTTATTTACGGACTTGTAACATAGTCTCCTCCCCTTACTAAAACCCACGAGTGTTTTTTCATTGTTTGGGGGGGTTTGTTTTTTTTGTTCCTTTTGCAGGTGTTCCTCCACACAAAGCTAACTTCATAGAGGACCTCGTTGTAATGCTACCTCAGAATATATGGGACAATCTGTATAGCAGGTAAGTTTGGAGCTGTAATTGGGAAAAATCCAGTGATAGTTTGAGAGCCAAGCAGCAGCATCAGACTTTAGAATTAGTGGCTCAGGAAAAGACAGCCCTCTGGGCACCCAGCTGAGTGAAGGGGCTGCAAACAGCCAATTTATATCATTTCCTTGTGCAAAGTAAAAGACTGCATAAAGTAGTGTGTTATTGGGTTAGTGCTTCAATATTAAAGCAATAAACATGTATGGTATGTATGAAATAACACAAAGTAGGTCAGCAAAAGTACACTTTGCAGAGGTTTTTTGAAAGAGCTCTCTGTATCAGCTTCCTGTTCTCTTGTTGGCTGCAGACAGCTTTTCTTTTATGTTGGCTTTGAATCCATAGCCTCAGCTGCCAGTACTGCTTCAAAATAACTTATATCTGAGTGTTCTGTGTTACTGCCCCACACTTTAATGTCGGTCAGGTTTGAGTGCTTGCTTACAAAGCAGAAATTCTTACAAGCTATGCCTTATTCCAAAGTAACAAAAAGCTGCAGAAGAGCTTTGCTGATGGCTTTCAACACTCTGTATTCCCCTTGCATGTAATATTTTTAGCTGTTAATTTCCTGCCACCTGAATGATACATCTAAAGGTTTGGGGAGTTTTTTATTGATGTTTTAAAGTTTTGGTGCACACAAGTAAAAAATAAAAACAATGGTATTTGCAGTTTATTTCCCTTTTTCTAGATGTACTGGATTTTTCTTCCATTATCCATTTTGTGTATGTAAAAATAGCCTTCTCAGGAGCAGTGCCCCTGCAGACTTCCATGGATATAATTTCACACAAGAAAAACCTGAGGGAAGGGTCAAGAATAACCTATTAAGAACAAGACTATAAATAAGTTTAGAGGCTGGGGTCAGGGAGGTAGCAAAGCTAATGAGGAGTCTGCAGTGGGATGGAGGAACATGTTTAAGACAGAACTGGCTGGAATTTCCATAGGTTGTTTCTTAGAATAGAATTAGAATCTTCTTTGGTAAAATCACACCTGGTGTATATTGAACAATACTTGCTCACTGACATGTTTAACCATAGCAGCTCCTTCTGAAGTCTGTGATGCAGCTGAGTTTGAGATGGTTTGTACTGGCATGAGGCAGTCAGAACTTGCAAGATGGTCTTAGGATGGAGAACAGAATATTACTAAGAAAATAAACTATGGCTTTTTGGCATCACTGTGACTGGCATGTGTCAGCCTTCTGTTCATACTGACATTTGCCACGTCTGCAGGTGCATGGTCTTTTTACATGATGTTTTCCACAAGGCTGATTGTTTGTACTTTTTCTGCAGATATGGAGGAGGACCAGCTGTTAACCATCTGTATGTTTGTCACACCTGCCAAATAGAGTCTGAAAGAATTGAAAAAAGAAGGAAAAATGAATTGGAAATGTTTATACGGGTAAAACAGTACACATTTATCCATTCTGCTACTGGCCAGCACCTGACATTCATGACTAGACCCAAGGGATTACTAGAATTGCACAAGGGATTCCTGTAACAAATGGACTTCATTAAATGTCTCTATACCTATATACCACCCCACCTCTCTTAATGGCAGCAGTAGTGTTCTTGTGAAATCCCAGATAACTCTTAGGTGAAAATGTACTTAGAGAAAATTTTTCATGTATTTCTTAAATTGCTTTTTTATAGTATGGAAACAGCCATGTGAGCAGTTACACTGCCAGTGCTCTGTTCTGTGCAGCCTGATATGGTTCAAGTGTAATAATACTGTGCCAAGAAAAATGTAATGGAAATCATTAGTTCTAATTTTAAAGAAAAGGCATTAGAAATATAAACAAACATAAGTGATTCAGTGTGAAGTAAATATGTTGGTATTGTCCTGGATCTGTAAAATTAATATCAAGGAGCTGCTATATTTTCCCTGGTTAGAGGATTATGTGCTTGAGTCTGAACAGTAAAATAACTAGAGGTAATGATTTTGATGTTCTTAAACCAAAATGTGTTTTGAAGTTTTCAGTGAAAATAAGTGCAGAGATACTGGAGTTCCATTTCTGCTATCTCAACTCATGAAAGGAAGAAAAATAGAACTGACTCTGTTTTTTCAGTTCTGTTTGTCCTTTAATCACGCTTCAGAGATTCTCATATTTTCCATGTTTTTCTAAAATTTTTAGAAATTTTCATTACTCTGGATTATCATGGGATAGAAATTATTATTCATGACATTGAGTCAACCCCATTTGCTTTAGCAGTCAGTGTCTTCCCAGTAAAAGCAGTAATTATATGTGCACTGTTGTGCAAGTATTGTTACTGGTTAGTACACAGAAAATTCTATTGTTCTCTGTAAAGATGGCTTTAGGGAATGATTGCAACACTTACTCTATATGAAACCTCAAGAAGTTGTGTTGATGCTTTGGGTTTATGACTTCAAAGGGGAAGTGTAGCTGTGTTATTACAGAGCTAAAAAGATAATGGTTTGAAGGTTTAAGTGACTTTTTGCTTGTTTCTTCATAATGTTGTAAAAAGATCTGTAAGTCATGAAAAGTCCCAGTGTGTTAGTTCACTGTGCCTTGCTTGGAATTGCACTGCCATCTGCTCGGAATACTTGAGGAAAAAGAAACACAGATGAATATACAGTTCATCACACAAAGAACTTTTCATAAAATTATGGAAGAAATTTTTCAGAGCACTTTCATTTTACAAAAATAAGATCTCTACCTTTTTTGCTACTTGAAAGTTCAGCCTTCACCGTAATTATCTATTAGTGTTTGATGAGTAAGCACTTGTGCTTAAGAAGAACTTGCTGCTGTTTTTAGGAAATAAAAGTAATCTGTCAACAAAACAGTAAATCGGCTTTTAATATGAAGGCTACCACTGCTTCAGAATCTAATCTCACCTGTTCATTAGGTGTTTACTTTTTTTTATGGTCAGTGATTCTTTAAAATGTTGTTACAGTGTAATGGTATGGTGTTAGCACAGTTCAAAGAATTCAGTAGTTTAAAGAAATGAAAGGGCAGAAAACCAGAGGTTTTTTTTCTCCCTGTAGCTTAATAGAGCATTCCAAGAAGAAGAAGCTCCATCAACGTTTTACTGCATCAGCATGCACTGGTTCAGAGAATGGGAGGGCTTTGTAAAGGGTAAAGATAGTGGTAAGTTGTGCTCCATTTCAAAATCTAGGTAATCTTCTGTTGTATTGTTGTTTGTCCCTGCTTTGGTAGAACACTGTAGGAAGGACAGATAGCAAAGGCAAAGAAAGCTCCTAAACATCTAAGACACAGGTGTTATAGGTTACAATACATCCAGGTTACAGAACATAGTAAAATAATTTACAGCAATGGGACAATGGGATGGTATTGGGAGGAATGTTGCTTGTTTGCAGGATGTTTGCTGTTAGTGACAGCAGGAAAATTGGCTCTAAGTACAGGAGGGAATGGATTTTGTTGTGCAAACTGATGGATGATGCTTTAGCTTCTGGAGGAAAGGTGACCTTGTCAAATGTGAACTCAGATAGCTCAGTAACAACTGTACTGATGTCAGTTTAGCTGACTTCAGATGCCTCTAAAGTTTTAAAATGAAGACTGATAAACTGTTCTACAATCTTATCAGTCTGCTCTGGGACAGCTTTGGTAAGGGTAAGAATTAGGATTAATTTGTGTTTTATGTTGCTTGAAGACTTAACTGTAATCAGGAATGCTTTGGAAAACTTGCACTTAATTAAAATGTGATTAGCTTTTAACAACGTAGAGTGTACTGTTAAACTGTAGAAGAATAAGGAGTAAATAAATGATCTGTTTTTCCTTTCCTTTGCAAATAGAACCTCCAACCTGCTGTTTGTTTTCAGCTCTCCCAATTTTAATAATTTTTCTATTGCACTAGATCCTCCTGGCCCCATTGATAATGCTAAGATTGCAGTGACAAAATGTGGCAATGCTGTGTTAAAACAAGGTAGGTGTCCAATATTGCTGCAGCCTTATGCATTTGCTGGAAGTTTGGGAAATTTATGACTTTTAAAAATTTATTTATTGTTACAATAAAATGAATGGCAATTTCTAATTAATCTGTGTTGTGCCCATTTTTGGGTAACCATTTTATTCTTAAAATGAAGAATTACTATATGCAATAGACTAATCCAAGTGCTGTTGAGAGTGTAGGAGGTGTTTCAAGAGTAACTTGAAAATGGAGAAAGTGTGCTTTGGCTTTGTATCACTTGGTTTGATGGGGGTTTTCTTAACAAAATTGGGAGACTGTTCTATATCTGTATGTAGTTATTTGAATCTTGAAACCTAATTTGAATAGAAAAACATCTCAGAGAGAGAGAAAACCACTCTACATAAAGTCTGTTGCTCATTTTTCTGCAAGTCATTTGATACTGTACATTGCATGTTAGTGAAGTTTTTGCAGATATAGAGATTTCTTCATTAATCTTCACATTTAAGTTCTCAATGTCATTTATTTGGAATTCATAGCTACAGAGGAAAACATTCTTATATGACCTGCTTTAGGAAGTCTTTAGACTTTCTAGGAAGCTTTAAATTCATTGCAGCTCAGCCTAAAAGAAGAATCTGCATCAATAAGATTAACATTTATTTAACTGGATTTTTTCCCAATTTTGCTTAATGCCTCAGCATACACTAGATATACCAATAAACCTACCATAAACCTCACCAACTAAAAACAATGAGTTTTGGGACTCATGAGTTTTTTAGTGCATTTTAATGATTTAATTAATTGAATCAATTTGAAATGTAATTAAATTTGAAGCAAATTGGCCAGTTGTTGGTTTACTTTCAGCTACATTGGTACAAATTAGAGCTTGCGTAGAAATAAAGATGAATAGGATGTAGAAAATCTTTATGATAACTTGTAAGAGGTGGGAATGCCCCTAAATAGGGTCCAGTACTACACATTTCTGTGATCCAGTGCCTGACTGTGCCTGTTCAGTTCAACCTGACTGGCTGCAGTCTGGATGAGTGAGTGAAGATCTACTCCTGTGTCTGCAGAGGTGGAGTTGTTTCTTGAGAGCCTGAATGTAAAAGAGTAGAAGTGAGGCATAACATCATCAGTACTGGCATGGGATCTGCATGGTGACTTCCAGAGGAAGCTTTGCACAGCTGAGTTTGTAGCTAAACAAACATGCAGCTCTTTGTACCCTTCCCCTTTAGAAACTCTAAACATACAAAGCACCACTGCAGCTGGTGATGAGGACAGAGAAGTACAGGAGGTAGGAGGAGAAGTTTGTAGGGCTGACTTCCTTTTTTTAAAGTATGAGGGTGCTGAAACAAGGCTTAACAAGACAAATTAATAATGTCTAATAAGGCTGTCAGGGGAAACTTGCTGTCAAGTAGGGTTTTGATTTGCTAAAAGAAGAGAAGGCGTATTCTGGTAGAGCAGAAATGTGATCTCTCTGTGGGTTAATGTGAGGAAATCATTCAGTATCAGACAGATCCTTGTATTGAAACCTAGAGGGGAGATGTGTTGATGCATCTTGTCTTTGCCACTGGAAAAAGTTGTGGACAGTCAGAAATGCTTGTTGGATGCTGGCTTGAGACAGGAGACAGACCTCTAGCCAGAGCATGGAATCATAAGCAAAGACTTTAATCAGTGAATGAAATCAGGCTGACCCATCAGTGCTACAGGAGCATTGCTGGAGCTCTTATTGTCCTAATAATAGTCCTTTGTCTCTGGGAATTTCACTGTGCTCCTCATACTTTTATTCTTTACTGTCAATATTAATTTCTGTGATGAAGCAAGAATCGAGTCCTTGAACTTTACTGTGTAATTGATGTGATTGATGTCATTATAACAATAAGAGTCATTGTTTCCTGAGTCCCAAGATTTACTACCTGTGAGCTTGATTGGTAGATATTAGATAAGATATTTATAATAGAATTTTCGTATGTTTTCTGCAATTACTGCATAATTTAGAGCAGATAGTTGTAAGAATCAAGAAGTATGAAACTAACACAAAATAGGTAATTTGGTTTGGCAGCTGGTGCAAGATAAAGCAAAACTAAATGTTGTAGTGTTAAATTTGGATCTGAATGCTTACAGTTTAAAATTTAATCTGGATTTTTTTCCTTTTTTTGTCTGTTCTGGACTTAAATCATTAAAGATTTAAATAGTAATTAAGTTTTAAAAATTTTTCAGGTGCAGATTCTGGACAAATATCAGAAGAAACTTGGAATTTTCTTCAGTCAATATATGGTGGAGGTCCAGAGATTATACTCAGACCACCTGTTCCTCCGGTAGAACCTGATATATTGCAAACAGAAGAGAAGATTGAATTAGAAACTCATGGTCTGTAGCTATTGAGGAAAAGATGAACTTGTAAGGAATCCAGCTTCCTTACAAAATGCCCAAAACACATTCCTAAAAGTTTTATTCTCTTATGTCTGTTGGAGGCACAGCTCACTGGGCATTACATTAACTACAGAATAGTAAGTTGAAATATGTATTGCAATTTGTTTAAATAGCGACTGTTTCTCTGTTTTGGAAGGCATGTGGTTTGTACATTTTGGAATGTTTGGTCCATGGGAAAAATGTAATTTCTGAATTTTTTGCTAAGACTCAAAATCCTACTATATCCTTAGACTTGAAAAACAGGGACAAATTTTAGAGATGTTCAGTAACCCTTCTGATTCCTGATTGGGCTTCTGATATCTACAAACTTTTGCCTGTCTTAATTGTACAGTCTTGACAAGCCTAGGTATGTGAGGAGTATATTTTAAATGGACTGAAATCAAACATAAAGAAAAAGGATTTTCATTTCCTAAATGCTCAGGAAAAAATTGTCTTTTACTTTGCACTGTAAGTATATGAAATGGATAGTATATAACATCCAAATACTTATTGTATTTGAGTGGCTCAAACATTAGGGTAGACTGAATAATGGTTTAGTCAGCAAATGTCATAACTTATTACTACTAAATTTTACATCTTCTTATAGTCTTCTGTAACTCTATAAACCTGGCTAGTGTCTTTAATAGTATATGTGGCAAAAAGATTTAGTCTTCTCTAGGGTAACATTTGAGAGCATGAAGTGTGAAATGTAAAATTATTATGGATATGAGTGATATAAATTTCAAAAAATTAAATTGTCTGGTCTCTTGAATTACATTCGTAAGCATTTATATTTGAAGGACTTTATTGTATTGTTAAGAATTTTCATTGGCATGATGACCTTTAATGTCAGAAGCTGGATAAAATGTATATATTGCAAAACTTTATTGAATGATTCATATTGGAATGCAGAATGACACTTGCTCATGTTTTTGCCTGATATTGTTACCAAATAAGCAGCATTATTCAAGACTGGATCAATAAAAAAACCAAAATTAACTGTGGAATAGGTGGGGGGAGCTTTTCTAGATGTTTTTCATTTATTATATAAATACAAAATCCTTTGAAGTAATGCTGTGGTACTGCTCTCACACCCATACAATTATTTTTTGACCATTTTAAGTTTAGACAATGATGTTGACAGTTCTAGTTCCAAAGCAAGAAAATGCTGACATAACCTTGCTCTGAATAATTTTATATGTAGTTTAAAAACATACTGGTTTGTAGGACTTCATGCTATTCTAGTTCAAAAGCCATCTATAACAGCCCTAGAGAGAATATCCTCTAACAGTAAGTATTTGTAAATGTGATTTGATGTTAGTAGATAAAGCAACTTGAAGCTAATATCACATTAGCCCTGTAAAGCATCAAGTACTTACTGCTGACTTGTGTTACTGATTAAGGTAAAGTTAACTTGCTTATGGACAGACATTAATAACTTGCTGATGTTGGCCTGTGAGCTACTGTCTGACTGTCTGATTTCAAGTCTTTTTTTTCCTTTTTTTTTTTTTTTTTGCTAAATTCTTTGATTTAAGGTTCTTTAACATACTAAAGATAAAGACCAATGAATAGAAGAATTTTACCTACACAACGTTCTAAATTGCAAACTCGGGAACTATTTCTCTGGTTAAAGCACAGTAGAGTGATCAAGTTTACAAATTTATTCAGTGTTTTCATTAATAGTGGATGGTAGAACAGACTGGCCTTGTAAAATTTGTAAGGGAAAAATGGATTGAGTGTTAGGGGCATCAGCTTGTCAGGGAATGAAGCAGTTCTGTGCTGAGTGTTCTGAACATTACAGCAGATCAGACTAAGACTTAAGACCCAGTGATACCAAAACAAAACCTGTTCTGGGTAATAGTAACAAAAGCATCAGATGTGAGGCACAGGAGGTAATTATTCTGCTCTACTTGGTGCTGTGCTTGGTTTGAGATCTCATCTGTACTGTTCCCAGTTTTGAATGTTACATGATGATAAATACAAGTTGAGATTATTTAAGGGAAAAGCAACAAGACTCAGTGTTGAAAAAGTCGTTTTCTCCCTTAAAAGAATGCTGAAAATGCAAAACTTCCAATGTGTAAATAATTGCTGGTTAATACTGAACAGTTTTTTTCTGAGATAAGCAAAGATATTTGCCTTGACTTGAGCAGTGGGGACGTGTGCTGGGTTTAGGAAGCTGATTTCAGGAATCTGGGAGTCTTCTAGTTGGTCTTTGCTTCTGGGTGTCTGACCATAGTCAAACATAATCTCTTGATTAGTAAGGAGACTCTTTACAGCAGCAAGTTTGTGAAATGCCTTTACAATGGAAGAAGGCATCTCCCCACTGGAACTCTGTCATACTTAAAAAAAACCCAAACCCCTCTGTTTGCAGAGATAAATAGATGTGTTTTAAGACTGTTCCAAAGGGATGACTGTCTTGCTTTCAGCCCTTTGAGAGCTCTACAAGGGGTATTATGTAACAGAAATGGAAGTAGTCTTTTCAAGGAAGGCAGTGTGGGAGAACTCCAGATGGATGGTCTGTGTATGCTGCACGGAAGGCAATAATTCAGAGTAGGTAAAGGAGAGGCCTTTCCTGGGAAAAGCTGTCATGATTCGTAGCAAAGAAAGAATGCATCTCAGGAAGGGCCTGTGGAAATTATTTTTTTTTCCATAAGCCTTTCACCAGACTATTTGGATTCTTTGTTCATTTGTTTCAAGTTGAGGAAACACAGCAATGTGTTTGTGTGCCAGAGAAACTGTCACTTCAAGAAGGGAAAAATCCAGTGGACTCCTTGTTGTAGGCCTGGAAATCTAGATATGAGCTGTTAGAAGCCTGCAGTTCAGACTGGTAACTTGAATCCTCTCTTCTGGGGAAAACTGTGGTGGCTGTCAGGGACTTAGCAGCTCAAAGCTTGATTTCTCTAAATTTCTGAAGGTTTTTTGCAATCAATATAACTAATTGTTCATCTGAAAACCTAACATTGAGGAGACTGCCTCAGATACTGTGTAATGTAGCTGAACAGTGTAATTGGAGGGAAAAAGAATAGCAGAAGAGCTGAATTACTCAGTAGTAAAGTAAGGCAGTTTTGTAATGTGTTTCAAAGGTGAGAGCTAAGTAGTCTGGCTGCTGAATGATTAAACTGAGGAGTCCAGAAAGGTGTTTCTGCAGGGATCATCCAGGTTGGTCCTGTGTATAGGGATACACATATATTTAGGTCTGTTAATATAATTATATTTTACATACATATATAAAAGTTAGGTGTATGTATGTGTATATAAATATGTATATAAAAATGCACAACATCTACTTCTCCAGTATCTTAATTGAACTAGAGTCACTACAATCATTCTTTTGGGGTTTATGCTGGAATAGTGACCTCGAGTAGCTACATTTGATAAAGGTTGTTTGGTTTACACTCAGTTCACTGCTGTAGTGGATGTCAGCCCTCCCATCAGTAATGGCTTGTTTCAAGAGAAGATAAAAAAGCATAAAGTGTTGGAAAAAGTGTTTGGCTGTATTATAATGTGGTTGAAGAGGTTTTCATTTGTGAAGCAAAAGTTCAATATGCCCACAGTTTAATAGTCCTGAATTTTTCTTATGAAATCTAATGTAATTTGATATGCTATGCTAATGCATTATTTAAGAATTCTTCTCAGATTCAGAACTTACATAGTGACTGGGTTTTTCCAGCACTATACATCCTACTTTTCCTAAAGCAGAAGGCATTTATTTTTGATGATACTGCTAACATTTGACTTTTTTTTTTCTTTTAGTACCCCATTACTCATAATATAAGTTCATTTGGAAAAGCAAGCCTGGGATTTGTAAATTTTATTGAAAAACTTAGATGTTATGTGCTTAAAAGGGACCAAGTGCTTTCTTCATATTTGCCATACAACTGTTTTATACTGAACTAAGAAAATTCTATGTAGTTTATTCCTTTTGAATTCCCTATATACATCTGGCTTAGTGCAGTCTAAGCAGTTTTCTCACTGAAAACCTTTCAGTCTTCATTTTGCCCAGGAAATGAGTAAAACAACTAGGCTTTCTCATTCTTCCTAACAGATGGCTTTTCTGGCTTCCCTCTATACTTAAGCCATCCAGAGCTGACAGTTAATAGCAGGAAGCAAAATGAGACTTCTGGGTTTCTGAAGTGTCACAGAGAAAGCCAAACCACTTTTAGTGTTAATTCACAGAAATTAATCCAGTTACAAACAAACTTGGTTTATATTAGCCTTCAGAATCTTAGGAGATTAGAAAATAGCCTTGTTCAGTAAAATTTTAGAAGTGCTATTCTCACTAACAATGAAAGCTGTAACTTGTTTTCTTGAATATGTTCTAGTATATAAATATTACATATATATCTCTGTTTAAAGCATATGTCTTGTCTTAGGGTAAGCTTCAGGCTAGCTTTAAGCCATTCAACAAGGTGACAAGTCTGCTTCTCCATAGAAACCAGTGAACACTGCCACAGCAAGATAAAATGTGCTTATACATCTCATGGTACACATTTGCTTACAATGGCAGAGTCATGGTTTTTGCAGAAAGTTGGAATTATTTATTCTATCTCAGAACTTTTCTCTTTTCTGTGTGTCAGCTCAGACATGCAGCTAGAAAAAGAAAGTCCATTTGAGAGAAACACATCACTGAAGTGTCCAGTAGGTTTTCTGCACCTGGACTGATAGAGGTACAACATGCAAAGTCACTCGATGGCAAGTTTCCCACATAGGTTGCACATGGGTGTATGTGTGGGCTTTAAAAAATGCAGTAAGAACTTGATCTCTGAAATAGGATGTTGATCAGATGAATAAGCAAGTAAATTCATTCTCTGTTCTGACTTGTTCAAGATTGAGTTGATTAGCTAAAACTTCAAGTTCTGATTGTTGAATGGACATGTAAAAATACAGCTGGCACTTGACTGGCTGATTTATATACAAGTATAAAATGAACCATCAGTAAAGGTAAAGCTGGCATACTAGGAATACACTGGTTTGTTATGCAGTTTTGAGATGCGTTTATGCAATGGTAGTGAATCTTAGAGCACATTTCTTCCTAGTCATTGGGAGCATGGGAGGTACAAAAGTAAAGGAGTCATCATCCACAAAATATTTTCATAACACAAATCAAGTTGAGAAGATTTCATTTCCAGATATGTTCCTCCTTCCTCAGTTGGAGATCACAAACAATTTATTATACATAAAAAAATTTCGTAAGATCTGGTTTTGGAATAACTTAGCACATGAGAAAGTAAATCTAAAAGTACTTTTTTGAGAAGAACAAAGAGGGCAGAAGAGAGGAGGCATTTGATTCATAGGTGTAGGAAAAAAGCTTAGGATAAATTGTCAGCTGCCAGAAATGAAAAATAACAATTTTTGTTTCATATCTCACAGGATACAGCCAAGAGCTTTTCATGTTTATTGTTCATGAATAGTTTTGCTCAGAAATTAGTATTTTTCTAGGTGACTAATTTTTTTCTGTCTGGTGTGTTTAACATTAAACATGCTAAACATTATAAAAAAAGATGTCCTGGTTACCATGGGGATACACTGGGGTTTTTTTTCCCCACCTCCCCTGGGTGTCTGTTAAAATGCCAAACCCAAATGAACATTGCAGCACTTGCTCACACTGTGAATTCATGTTTGTTTCCACCACTGCACACTGTGTCTCTTTAGCACCAGAAGTAAGGTTTCTCTGAGATTTTCATTTATAACAAAAGAAATGCACTCATGCATGCCAAAGTGCTAATGAACTGGCAGCTACTAATTCACTTAGTATTTTCAATTTAGTGTTTCATGTACTACCAAGGTTTACAATTTAACTGTAGAGGCAAGAAATAAAACATGTATTAGCTATGAACTCTGAGTGCCCTGTCTTCTGAATGAATTTTTAGTAAGGGAAATATGCTCTCTTTTACCTCATTTCCTTGTAGTATAATTAATTTGCTGTCCAACCAAGCAGGGTAGTGGAGATAATCTGTCTTTTGAACTTATCAGTAGCAATCTGAGCTTCATCTGTGACCTTACCTTG